AGAGTCAGTCGGGTCGGGATGTCGCACGTGGTGGGGTAAAGTGTGGCCAGCGTGGAAGAGTAGGCCAAATTCCCTATTGGAGTATAGTGAACTAGGGGGAGCTCTCTATACAGTATATCTCGAGTGGAGGCCCATCTGCCAACAGTCCCTTTAACAACACATATCCGGAATGCAGATTTACCGTTTCACATTTTGTGTTGCCATAAAGATTCTGCAGGCAATGCGGCGCTTCCTGCTCTTGTTTTGTGTCCCCGATCGGACGCTTGAACGGTGCCGCAGGATGCACGACTTTGACGGCAACTCGTTCCTGGACGGCCTCGAGATGCTGGCGGCGCTGGCGGACACCCTGCAGGAATCGCTGGGCGCCGTGGGTCCAGAGGAGCGACTCGCCGTCTACGAGCGTGAGCTTTCCCCATTGCCGGGGTCGACAACCAAAATAACAATAATAGGAAGAAGAAGAGCCATTTTATATCGGATTCGATACTGCGTGGTGAATACGAGACGGTACTGGTCCTTGATGAATGACTGTCGTGAAGCAGCAGTCCTTGAAGAGCCGCACGCGGCTACGGAACCGCAGGCTTGTCGACTTACGGAACGGTTCGACTTACGAACGTGTCTCAGGAACTAAGTGTGTTCGTTCGTAAATCGGTGACCGTCCGTATCTAAATGGAGCTGATGGCGTGTCGCCCCCTCGCGGCCACCAGGGATGGTGGACGAGGTTCTGCAGGAGGACGACTCGGACGGGGACGGCCTCCTCTCCTACGCCGAGTACAGCCGCGCTCACGGGCGCACGGCCGGCACCGCCGGGGTCACGGAAGCCCCGGGGACCCGGGAGGGGCAGGGGGCCTGAAGGGAGTGGGCGGTGGTCGCTGTGGTGGGGGAGGGGGGAGGGAGTCACGAGGAGGTGGGGCTCGGGGGTGAGTGGAGCGGGTCACTGTCGGAATTGGTCAGTGATGGGGGTCAGTGATGGAGCTACTAGGGGGGTGAAGGGAGGGGGTCAATAGGGGGGTTACTGGGGGGTGGTGGAGGGAGGTCAGTGAGTGGGGCTACTCGGGGGGTGAAGGGAGGGGGCGTTGGGAGTGAAGAGTAACGGGGGGGGGGGGGGGGGGGTGAAGTGAGTCACGAGGTCCTGCCTACGCCGTACAGGTGATGGGGCTATTTTGTCCATACTGCACCACGCATGTCAGTACAATGGCTATTACGACACTGCCCTCTGCTGCCCACAACATAGGCTGCGTGTTTGAATGCGATCTAATAAAGAGAGATGATGCTGATGATGATGATGGTTTCTGTCACTTTGTGTCTGCCCAAACAAAGGGCAACCACCGCCATTATTACAACCACCACTGTTATTACAACCACCACCATTATTACAACCATCACTGTTATTACAACCACTACCAACAGCACCAATACCTTCACCATCACAATCAACCTCATCATTATTGTACTACCACATCACAACAACCACCATCTCCAAATCACCAACAAAGACACAGATCTCCCGTATAGCCTTCACAGACTGTTGGGGCAAGTGCAGTTAGCGAGTAGCACCTGTGAAGGCCGGCACGGCACACGAAGGGGTGGGTGGCAACCACCATGCCCGACCCCCTTTGTCTCCCGAGTGGCTACGTTGTTATACATCGCACGAGGTACTCAACTGAGGCTGAATCGACCTAGGGGAGGCCCAGAACCGGTCCAGATAACCTTCACCAGTGTTGGCCGTGGGCTAGAATCGAACCCGGGTTGCAGGGTTCATAGTGCAGCGTAGCGCTAACCGCTACGCCACCACTCCCACTATCGCCACCATAAGTAACGCCACTAAACCAAACCATGTGACCGAAAGGCGTGGGGAGGCTCTTCATCCAGCAGTGGATTGGCACGTGGCTGCGCATACAACATCGCTGTTCGTAATAGAGGCCTTTTGGGTTAGATCGCGTAAAAATATGTGTCGTTGAACCCGCCACCAGCCGACACAGCCCATGAGTAAGGTTTGTCACGTAAACAAAATGTGCCAATTCGTTACTAGTTCAGCACTAACCGGTGTGTTGGAGAGTAAACCCCACACCATTTACAATTCGAGTTTGACGTTTCGCCAGTTATTACAACAGCAGCATCAGGCGGACAGCTCTGGCTGTCGTGATAACGAATTGGCACGTTTTTTGTTGACGTGACCAACCTTACTAATTGTCTGTGTCGGGTGGTGGGCCCCCACCCCACCACGCGATCTAACCCCAAACCCCCTCAATTGCGGACAATATTGGTGGCGAAAGCGTGCCGCGTGTTGCACAGCATCGCTGTTGCCCGTGTGTCGGCGTGTGGCGAGTGTGTCCCTGACGTGTAACCGTGGATACACCACACACCCGGCTCTACGTGCCCGTACGAGTGTGGTCTACGCGACGCCTTCACGTGGCCTCCGAAGCCGCGAGAGGCAGCTACACTCGTAAAAAGACGATCGATTTTTGAATGTCAAAATGCTCGGCCCCCGCCCCCACACCGAATCGCTGGAATGATTCAATACGACAGCCGTGGTCGGTGAATCGTCGTCAGACCCGATGGGTGGGTCCGTTCGCACGTGGCCAAGTTAAAGGTGTCGAGTGGTCGCGTGTGGCAATAACCAGGTTGCGGGCAGTGCCGGGTTAAGCTAGTGCGGGGCCTGGAGCATTTTGTTTTATAAAGGGGACCTCAATTAAAACAAAAACACGTAAATATTAAAACACATACATCTTTTTTACTTGCATAGTAAAGTAGTTGTATTTTTTCATTTGCTATACAGCCAGATAATACGACAAATCGCTAACCTTAAACACCCAGTCGTTCATAAAAGTTGAAGGCACTATAGTACTATAGTAATAGAGCAAGTGCAGAATCACTGAACCGGAATTGATAGCTTGAAAGCATTTAGCGCGGGGCCCTTGAAAGTGCGGGACGCGTAGCTACTACACATGTAGTTGAAGTAGCTACTACACATGTAGCAGCTCGTACATATGTAGTAGCTGCCACATATGTAGCTACTTTTGCTACGAGGATAATCCGGCACTGCGTGGGGGGTGTTCGGGGTGGCGGGTGGAGCGGTGGCGCGATGGTTTGCGCAGTGCGCTCTAAGGCAAAAACAAAAATTCCCGGCCTACAGCCAGAACAAAATCAGAAACTCTATTTAAACTGGAAGAATCCGATGAGCTGTGAAGCTCTTTTTCACAGATGTCCAATAGGGGCGGGTCACAACGTTACAACAACAAACAATAAAACACACACAATAGGGGTGCAGAATACAAGTTAAACAAATCACTTCAACAATTTCGTTTTATTTTACCAGGTAAATCCCACTGTGATTTTCAGCTATTTTTCAGAAGCGACCCGGCCACAAAATGATAGCTCAACGAAGCGGCTTATCATGTGGCCATTTCTAGCAACCAACTAATAATCTAAGTAATATAAATGCATGCTTCTAAATGTGGAGGGGGAAACCGGAGGACCCGGAGAGTGAAAACAATCCACGAGACCACGGGCAGAGTGAACATGCAAAGTCCGAATATACAGCAGGCGTCTGAGGTCGAGTGAGATCTGAATTCTGAACCGGTTCTGAGCCCCCCGTGACTTACAGACGCGCACCGCTCGCACGAACCAACTAAAACGCTAACGCTTAATCTTCTTCATTGTTGCGGAAAGTACCGTGAGCTCAGCGAGCGCCTCTCGGGAGCCGCTACGACGCATGGTGAGAGGGGGTGGTGATCTCATCGGGGCCACGCCTTTGTCTCTCTCCCCAGCTCCGCTTTTTTCTAAAAAAAAAATGCGCCAGGTACTGCGCCTATTTAAGGCCGAGTCGATCTAGGCGACGCCAAAAGCCGGTTCATATATCACGAGCCACGGATTGTTGGCTGGCGCCGTCCTCCGGCAAGCACACTCAGCCAGGTTCGTAGCCTAGTGCCTAGACTTGAGTAGGTGGGCTAAGTGCTGTTAGCGAGCACCTATTAATCAAGACACGGCTCTCGAAGGGGTCGTGTTGCGAGCAAATATTCCCCCCTATAGCCTTAACAGACTTTTGGGGCAAGTACTGTTAGCGAGCACCAATGAAGGCCGGTACGGTACACGAGGGGGTGGGTGGCCAGCACCACGCCCGACCGCCTTTGTCTCCCTAGTGGCGATGTTTACACTGCACCAGGTACTCATTTGAGGCTGAGTCGACCTAGGGGAGGCCCGGGACCGGTTAAAATAAGCGTCACTGGTGTTGGCCATGAGCGGGAATCGAACTTGTGTGGCCGGGTTCGGAGCGCAGCGCGCTAACCGCTACACTACCGCTCCCACACACACATACAGTATACACACGCACATGCGAACACGTGAGAATGATCAAGCTTCTGATGATGATATCCTAAGGCGCACAGTATCACAGGATGGTGTTGCCACGTACGATGCTGCTGATGGGATGTGGTAAAACGTAAACTCACACCCACACATGATGATGATGATGATGATAACGAAATATGGGGCCACAAAGACAGATCTCCCGTATAGCCTAAACAGAATTTTGTGAGCCAGGGAATGGGTGACCAGCACCACGTCAGGCCGCCTTTGTCTCCTTAGTGGCGATGTTTACACACCACACCAGGTTCTCATTTGAGGCTGAGTCGACCGAGGGGAGGCCCAGGATCGGTTCACTAGTGTTGGCCGTGAATCGAGCTCGGGTTGTCGGGTTCGGAGTGCAGCTCACTAGCCACAGACAACAAAATACATCCCGCTGATGATGTATATGGCAGCGCACACACGCACAGACACACACGACCCTCCTGCTGATGATTATGGAATAGGGGACCGCTCACGCCTACAGTCACACATGATGATGATGCTCCTGATGATGATGATGACGACGCCGATGCTGGAGGTATGTGAAACCTCGTACTGTCACACATGATGCGACTGATTATGTTGATGCCGCTGACGATGATGATACGTGGCAACGTTCACCCCCACAGTCAAACATGACGGTGCTGATGATGCTGATGGGCTCTGGAATCGCCCACGCACTCACACACGACGATGCTGATAACGACGACGATATATAACAACGCTCACGCCCACAGTCACACTCAATGATGCTGATGATGATGCTGCTGATGATGATGATGGTGCTAAAGGGCTCTGGGATCGCGCATGCGCACATCCGCTCACGCGCGCGCTTAAAAAGCCGTGGCTCCCTGCCGCCTCCTCATCTTCAGAGCTCCCGGCTCACATTCGGAGCTTTCGCGGGCGCCACCATCACCGCAGAACGCGCACGCACAGACACAACACCACCATCGTAACGCCGTAACGCCATCGTAACGCCATCATCATCATCAACATCGCCATCGACGCGGTCTTCCCGGCTGATGGCAGTAATCATGGCTCTCGTCGCCGTGTTCATAGCGACGGTCGCGTTATCTTCCACCGGTCAGTATACATTCACAGGGTATTCGTTCTATGTTATGGGTGATGTAGGCACTTCAATGACGTGTGTGTGTGTGAGACATGTGGACATGTACGTGTACAGCCATTGTGTCAATCCACTGCTAGATGAGGCATTTCGTCTGCACGGCTGTGCGGGTCGTCGGGGATTATCTTGACCCTATTTCAGCACCCTGGACAGCGCGGGTTTTGGAAAGGCGGTGAGCGTTTGACGTGGACGCATAGAAGCGCAGTACAACAATGGAGGGGGTGGTTGCTGTACCGCCCACCACGTAGAACCCCGAAGCCGCCTTTGGCAACCTGTTTGTGCATTGGTGGTCACCCCTTCCAAGCCTCATCTGGGCTCAAGCTCCTGCTTAGCTTCGCAGATCGGATGAGGTTGGGGGAATTCCGCATGGGCATGGTCACAGGATGTGTAAGAGACAGGCCAAGGGGCTCGGTAACCTGCGGCTCCAGAGCCGCATGCGGCGGCTCTGTAAGGACTGCTGCTTCGTGACAGTTGTTTATTAAGGAGCAACACCGTCTCGCATTCACCACACAGTGCATTGAAATATTGATGGGTTTTCTTTGTTTTGTACCGAATTCTATAAAAATGGCACCTCTTGTTATTTTGCGTTGCCGACCTCTGAGATAGGCAATGCTCGTTTACATGGACACAACAAGCCCCTCGTGTATTGTAGTCTCGAGTGCGCACGTGTATGTCTTTGTGTTATAGTGGCTGTTATTGAGTGCGTGTTAGCGCCTTGGGCTACAATACCACATTGACCCCGGGGTGCGATTCCCGGTCACGGATAACATCAGTGGCGAGTGGTGTCTGAAACGGGGCTTGCGCCTCCCCTAGGTCGACTCGGCAAAAAAAAACGAGCACCTCATTGTGGTGCGTTGCAAGCGCTGGGCAGACCAAGGCAACCGGGCGTGGTGTCTGACTCACCAGCCCCAATAGTCTCCTATAAGCAATAGAGGGTTCCCTATCTTTCACCGGCTATGTGTTTAACATGTGAATGCACGCATAGGATCAGAGGTGTGTGTATATCACGTCGTAATACTGTACATATATGCACGATGCCTTTTGTGTGTTTATGCCTCTACATTATATTCCTGTTCACACGTAGAATGCATACATATGCATTTGTGTATTTATATACGGATGGAATTGCAAAAAGGATCCCGTTTAACGCAGACAGTGATACTCCAGTAAACACGGAACGTTGGACCAACGTTGATCCAACGTTGGTGCAACGTTGGGCTCACGTTGGGCCAACGTTGCATGTTTACTGGGTCACCACGCCGTGCCGGTCGTCGGGATTATTTTCTTTTTTCACCATACTTCACCACGCTGGTGACATTGTTTTCACAGTGTACTAGGCTGTGCTTCATTTCAGCCGGAAGAGTCTGGAACGATGTGCCGGGAATGAGTTTGGCACCCGGCCAGCATCGATGCACGGGCGCCTGACGTTATGTGCCCCGTTCCAATAAACCTGTGCGTGGGTTTTATATTTTATTTCTTCTTATTATTAAGGTATATAGGGTACACGATATATATGATCATTATAAAACAGGCGTGCGTTGTACTCGTGTGGCAGTGCCTTACGCCAATGGGCAGCATCCACACCAAGCCATGTTCCTTAGCAGCGTTCGGGAAAACATCGAGTGGGACAATAATCCCCGAGTCAAGGCGCATTCAAAAAGCCTTGCGCATGCTGAGCTCCGCGCTTGGCCAGATGTTATCGTTGGTAAGTGCACTCCCTCCGCGCCATTATCCACAGGTCCTTTGTGAATTGTTATTTTATTGAGTGCAAGAAGGGCCCACGGCAAAAGTCCGATGCCCGACAATAGACGCGAAACAATAGACGCCTTTCCCTAACGCATTCACCCCCCCCCCTTGTTTTCACAGCCTCAGCCCTGCCCGTGAGTGGAAAGCTATCCCCATCCGACGAAGCGGTGGGTTTTAATCTACGTGGGGATTTGAGAATGTCATCGTCGTTTGCAGCTGGGGGTTGGCATCGTCCCCCACTCCTCCATGATGCCGAGGGGAAATGGGCGAGGTTTAGGACTGTGGCTCATGCAGCTGCAATGGCTGCGTCGGGTACACGGTTCAGAATCAAGGCTGGCACGGCCCAGTTTTATTCATTCGGGTTTTAATCGGTTTTTATATAAAACCGGAGCACCTGGATCCTGCCCAAATCCGGTTTTATTAAAGTGAAGTCGGGATTTCAGTCGCACGCACCCATTAGCGGCGTTCGGGCCGGGGCCCGGGCTCAGCCGCCGTGCGCGTGAGTCACGCGCACGGCGGCATGGCCACGTCGACCGCTGCTGCGTCTGAGCGAAACTTCTCAACGATGAGATTTATCCATTCCAAGTTGAGGAACAGCCTGGCCGCCTAGCACAGTCGAGAAGCTCGTCTTCATCAAGTCGAACCTCAACGCGTTCTACGACTACCCGACGCCCCACGAACGGCGACAACCCCGAGTCGAACGGCGAGAGCGACGACGAAGATGACGCGGCGGCGGACGACGACGACGAGGAGCAGGATTGAAGTGTGCACGAGACGCCGATAATAAAACCAGGTTTTAATCGGCAAAATCGGGTTTAATTCCATTAAAACCAATAACCCGATTTGTCGGGCAAAAAAAATCGGGTTTTTCCCAGTTCTGAATCAGAACTCCCCAGAGAGCCTGGCTGAAAGAGGTGTTCATGCTGGCTGAGAAAAAGCGACAGGCCCACTCTCACCGTCTACAGCATCCCACGTCGGAGAATGAGGAGGCCTACCCGCAGCCTTCGCTCGGAGGTTCGGAGAGCCGTGAGGCGCTGACCAAGCATCCAGGTGTCACACCGGGATGCTTCGGTCAATTCCTCTTCAATGGGCGGTTTCGCTTCGTCTGCGAGGACAAGCGGAGTGCCCGGAGGAACCCACCACGAGAACGAGGGGACAGCACAGCTCAGATGCTGTGCAGCTCAAGAGGGGACAGCACAGCTCGGATGCTGTGCAGATCAAACAAAATCAAATAAAAACCTGTAAACTATTTTGATTTTACAAGGTAAGGCCCCACTGAGCTATATAGCTCTTTTTCAGAAGCGATCTGGCCACAAATGATAGCTCAGCGAAGTGGCTTATCGCGTGGAAATGTATAGCAGCCAAATGCTCGAAACGCACGTGGAGGGAAAAACCGGAGGACCCGGAGAAAAACTCTGGAAGTCTCGGAAATCTCTGGATGATCCAGCAATCCTTAGCGGTGGCTCACAGGTCGCGCCCCCGTCGCTGCCGCCACCGCCTACTGTGTAATGAATGCGCTGGCAAATGAAGATTATGGCTTTTGTGAAAAGCTGACTCGGTGTGCTACACGAGTGTACTGATCCTGACAAATCCACACTGTAACCACGGGGCTATTTATAGCCTCCAAGAGTTGGTAATCGCACTGAGCGCTTGTCTGTGTCTCTTTCCAACTGTATCTGCGTTTGCGTGTCTGTATTTCCCACTCTGTGCTTATCTGTTTTACTGTCTACCCAATTGTCTGGTCCGCTTGTCTGTTAATTAATATGCCAGTCTGTCCGTTTGTCAGTCCACGTGTGTGCATATCTGTTTGCCTATATGTATTCCAGCCTGTCATCCCATCTCTCTGTCTTCCCATTCGTCTGTCTTTCCACTCGTATGTCTATCTTGCAATCTCTCTCTGTCGGTCTTCATCTGCCTGCCTGCCTCTCAATCTATTTATCATATCTGTGCATCTGGCTGCCAAACCATGTCTCTGTGCCCATCCATCTAAATGTCCGTCTGTCTGTCTCTCTGCCTGTCCGTCTGTCCGTCCGTCTGCCTGTCCGTCTGTCTGCCTGTCCGTCTGTCCGTCCGTCTGTCTCTGTCTGTCTCTGTCTGTCTGTCTGCGCGCACGTCGTGCAGGCGCTGAAGTGCATCATCGAGGTCCTGTCGGGAGCGCTGTCTCCCGCGCAGCCTCCCCCAGCAGCCAGCGCCGAGTGCATGGAGATCCTTCGTGGAGGCGAGCGCCGCGACCCCCGTTACCCCCATCCACAGGGGGTCGCGATAATCTCAACGGGCGCTCAGAATTGATTAGATTGTATCGTCCTTATGATCGTCAACAACACGAGCCATGCGATCATTTCCGTTGTTTTCTTGATTAATATCATCATATTCTTGGTTCTTTCGGTAAAGTCACGCAGAAGGGAAACAATAAAATAGTAAAAAGATAAAACATTTTTTTTATTATTTTATTGTTTCCCTTCTACGTGACTTTACCGAAAGAACCAAGAATATGAATCCCTGCAGTCACGAAAGCTAAAAATCAAAATTTAATATCATCATCTTAATATCGTCGATATGATTTGTCATCATCATCACCACCATCATGAGATACGTCGATCGCCAGTCAACGTCACAAACATCAACACAACCATCACATTTCGATTTAAAGCTTTCGTGACTGCAAGGATTCATCTTCTTTGGTTCTTTCGGTAAAGTCACGTAGAATGAGAATAAAATAATAAAATAGCACAATAAAATTCTCACGACGTTTCGGCCACAACACAAGTGGCCTTCTTCAGGTGAAAGGAACAAACCCTCAACTTCGTAGCTGTCCGTGGTGCTGAAGTTGAGGGTTTGTTCCTTTCACCTGAAGAAGGCCACTTGTGTTGTGGCCGAAACGTCGTGAGAATTTTATTGTTCTTTTATTTTATTATTTTATTCTCATTCTACGTGTCTTTACCGAAAGAACCAAAGAAGACGACCATCACAATCATTGAATTAATTGTTGTTGTTGTTGTTCTGCATCATTAATATCGTCATAGTGGCCACTACCAACACAACAACTGACACATCATCATCGTTATCATTGTCATCATGATATTTAAATGTATAGATCATCATCAGCACCGTCACCACGCTGATAACAATTGTAGACGATCATCATCGTCGTGATCAGCGTCACCACCACCACCATCACAGCCACAACGATGAACATCGCCACCATTGCCATCTGTCGCCACCTCGGCGTGACGAGAACGATGCCCCCCCCCCCCCCCCCCGACAGATAATCGAATCTCCACGCTGATCCACCAGCACGACCTCCTGTCTCAGCTGGAGGAGATCGCGGGCAGGGGCAACGCAGGGGAGCGCGCGGGGGCCGCTTCCACAGCAGTAGGCGCCAAGTACGAGCCGAGCGAGGAGCGGCAGGAGACGAAGGAGGAGGATGAAGAGACACGAGTCGCCCACGAGGAGAAGGACAAGAAAGACGCCAAGAAGAATAAGCAGGAGCAGCAGGAGCAGGAGAATGACGACGACGATGATGATGATGATGAGAAGGAGGAGGAGAAGGAGGAGAAGGAGGGTGGCGATGACGAGACCAAATCTGGAGTGGGGAAGTCACGGGAGTTCCGCACGAAGGGGCCGGGGAGTGCCGAGCGCCGCGCAGGAGGAGCGGGAGGACGAACGAAGTGGAGCGGGGGCCGTGTCCGCGTGGAGCCGCGCCACGGAGAGGCTCCCCCCGAGAAGGCCATCGGCCGCGACTGGAGCAACGGGGAAGAGTCACGTGGACAGCTGCGCGGCGCTCCCGACACCGGCGACGAAGAAGAGGAGGAGGAAGAGGAGCGGTCCCCACACCACGAGGACAAGGACGACGGCGGTGACGAGCTGGCGAGGAGCGTGGGGACTGGCGGGGACGACGACGAGGTGCAGGACGCGGAGGAGGAGGAGGTTACGGAGACGCCGGCGCGTCGCGGAGACGAGAGGGCCCAGCGGGGTTCTCACGGCACGAGCGGCGTCGAGAGGAGCGCGGCGCGGGAGGCGCACGACGGCCGCCGCCGCCGCCCCGCGGCCGAGCAGCTGCTGGAGTACCTGGACCAGATCCGCCAGCGCCTGGGACAGAAGCAGCAGGAGCAGCAACAGGAGGAGCAGCAGGAGGAGCAGCAGCGGCGGCGCGGCGACTACGGCGGCAGGCACCCCGACAAGGGGGAGCCTCTCGTCGACAGGAAATCCGACAGCGAAGACGAAGACGACGAGAAGGTTGAGAACGAGACGCGAAAGAGCGAGGTGGGCGGCCGGCACGGCCACTACGAGGTGGAAGACGATGCCCGCGAGCAAGAGGAAGAGGTAGACGACGAGGACAACGACGACGAGGGAGAAGAGCAGGGCGGCGGCGAGGAGGTGTTTGGTGACGGTGTCGGCAGCAGCCACCGCTGGGCGGGGAAGGTCCACGCGGAGGGGCGGCCTGCGTGGGGAGCGGCGCACAGAGCCGCGGCGAAGGGCGACGAGGTGGAGGACGCGGCTAAGGGCGGCGACGAGGAAGAGGGCGACGAGGAGAAGCAGGAGGAGCAGGAGGAGGAGGAGGTGGGGCGAGGAGGTGGGAAGGAATGGGGAGGCGACAAGCGGGTCCAGGACACCCAGAGCCGCAAGCACAGCACACTGAACGTGAGTACAATAATCACACGGGTCGCTATCGTCATCGTCACCGTGATCAATCCGCTGCTGGATGGAGGTCTCCCCAATACACCGCCACCGTCACACAGGTTTCGTGCGATGCTAAAGTTCACCTGGGAACTGCACACGAGCTGATTCACATGGCCCCGTCTCCGTGTGGAACACGTGGAGACGGGGACGCGTGGATGCGTACACGTCTCCACGTGTTCGTGCACAACAGAATAAAGGTCTTTGGGTTAGATCGCGTAAAAAATATACAAACGTGTGGTTAACCCACCACCACCACCCGACACAGCCGATTAGTAGGGCTTGCCACGTGAACAAAACGTGCCGATTGGATATTACTTCGGCACAACGGGTGCGTTGGAGAGTCAACCCACGACACTTACAATTCGAGTACGACGCTTCGCCGGTGATTGCGACCAGCTTCATCGGGCGATTTGACACAATTGTGAAGAGGTCTTCCTGCTTCCGATCTCAAATAGAGTAAGACGAGTAGACACACAACGGAATGACATTTTATTCCATCAGCCTATGGTGGGCCCTCCTGTTTTCCAGGAAATTTTATTTAAGTTTAACACGTGGTAGGCTTTCGCGACCAATATCATCTATAATAGAGGGTTTTTTGGGTTAGATAGCGTAAATATAAAAAAAAATTGTCGTTAGACCCGCCACCACCGAACACAGTCAATTAGTAAGATTTGTTACGTAAACAGAACGTGCTAATGCGTTACTCAGGAATGAAACGGGAGGATTTATCCACAAATTTGGCTGTCGCCTCATGAAGCTAGTTGTAATTATTGGCGAAACGTCGTACTCAGATTGTAAATGTTGTGGCTTGGCTCTCCAACACACCGGTGTGTTGTACTAGTGACGAATTGGTCACGTTCTGTTTACGTGACAACCCCTTACTAGTTGGCTGTGTCGGGTGGTGGCGGGTTTAACGACACATTTATATATTTACGCGATCTAACCCAAACAAACCTCTATTATGGAGAATTAATTTAAAGCCCAGAGCTGTCGAAAGGTTTCCGGAGGCCCCGGAATAATCTGCCAGATAGTTCCCCACCACCGCCGCCACCACCACTGCTTCTTCCTTAACACGGCTTCACTCCTTTGGCTGCCGCTCCATTCTTAGCCTCGGCCACTTCCAATGCTTTTTTCACGTACACACAGTTTGCTTTCACGTACACACAGTTAGCTTTTACGTACACAGTTAGATTTTCACGTACACACAGTTAGCATTCACGTACACACAGTTAGCTTTCACGTACACACAGTTAGCTTTCACGTACACAGTTAGTATTTCACGTACAAACAGTTAGCATTCACATACGCACAGTTCGCTTTCGTCGTGTGTATGGACGTACGTGTGTGTTGGACTTCTTTCGCACCGTACGCAGCCAACCGTGCTAATCGGATGCACGTGGGGGAAGGAGGACGGGGACGTCTGGAAGATCGGGGGGGGGGGGGGGGGGTCACCCCGCAGTCGCTCGATCGTTTTTGTTGTTGTCGCAACGTCTCCTTGTGCAGAGCAAACAGCTGCTGGAGCTGAAGGCCATGGAGCACGAGCTGGTGAAGATTGCCGAACGACTTGGGGAGCGACTGGGATGAGGCGCAGGAGACGGGATCGAGAAGAAGGAACAAAAGACGGGAACCCCCCCCCCCAACACCCCCCCCCCCCACAAAATATCATAAGACATCGCGACCCGTCCAACGACATCACGACTCGTGCGACATCACGATTAGTCCGACATCACGACTAGTCTGACGACGTGACCTCACGACTAGTCCGACGACATCACGACTAGTCTGACATGGCGACTCGTGCGACATCACAACTAGTCTGACGACATGACGACATCACGACTAGTCCGACGACATCACGACTAGACCGACGACATCACGACTAGTACCACATCACGACTAGTCCGACGACATCACGACTAGACCGACGACATCACGACTCTTCGTACCGGCGGCGCTTGGAGGAGGAGGCGGCGGCAGCGGCGGTCTCCACCACGCGGTTCCGGGTGTTTCATGCCACGTGCAGGCGGCTTGTTTATTGACTAATTGGGAGCGACATTGGCCGTAGTTTTGTAAGGGGCTTCTTCCACTGCGTGGTGGAGTTTGAAAAGCCCACGCAGCTTCTCAGGATAATCCCGCATTTGTTTATTTTGAGATTCCGCCCGACTCCCCCATACCAATAATCCTATTTTTCTCAGTGCAGGTCTCCGTAAAGGTGTCATCCGTTATTGAAAGCCATATTTAGACATCCAGAGTTCGATTCCTGGCCAAGGCTAACATCGGTAGCGTTTGGATATCTGAAACGCTCGGTAGGCGCCCTCCACACTTCGCACGCCGGGGTCAGCGCGTGGCGCGGTAAAGGCGGGGAACCCAGAGGGACCGGCTCAGATATTGCTCACTGATGTTAGCCGTGGTCGGGAATCGAACTCGAGTCCGCCGGGTTTGTAGTGCAGCGCGGTGACCACTGCGACACCCCTCAACAGCCCTGTCCAATTATAATTGTCTCTTAATAACGATACCAACAAATCGTACTGTTGTGGGGAGCACGAAAATCGCCGTGCTCTTCCCCCCAAGAACTGCGTCCCAAGCGCGTGCTACCGGCACCACGTGGCAAGGGGTGCGATCAAACCTCTTCACGGCCTGCAGCAGAGTGGCAGCAAAGTGGCCCCGGATGATGGCATCGTATTCGGCTCGCGCCTCTCTGTTGCCGTCCACGCGTCCATCCCACGCACAGTCGAAGCGGTATTTTTTACATTCTGAACGGGGTTGAAATTTTGCCACGGTCACGTTTAGTGAAAAAAACAAAACAAAGTGAGAGTGATGGAGGCGGGGGGGGAGGGGGGTTTGACGCAGTTATCGGTGAGCAGGCTGAGTCCGGTCAATTCACTGCGCTTGAGAACCTGCTTTCAACCACTTTTGATTATTTATCGTACTTACCTCTTGCATCCCCGATTATCGCTGTAGACTACCGCCCGTGTTACCTGCAGCAGGAAAAACAGGCCGATGTGGAATTTGTGACCTCTTCCAACTCGGCTTGAGATGCAGAATCCAGTGGTGGGGGGGGTCAGGGTTAGGGTCAAGGTTAGGTCACTTGGCTCCATAATTTAAGGTTGAGATTTCCCCCAAAACATTGTGGACATGAATTGCCAAGACATACTGTGCAGATTTTGAATCGCAAAGTAGTTTTATTTTTCTTCTAGTGAAAGTAATTTACTGTCATTGTGGCAGACACAGCCGCTACCCGGCTGCGGAATGACAACGGCGAGTAACTAAAGACCGCTGTCATTGGCAGTCTGTCAATCAGCAGGTGGGGTAAAGTGTAGGCACTCCCACCTCTTCCCAAGACGTACTGGCCAGCGTGGAAGAGTAGGCCACAACACCCTCTAGAGGGAGGCTCACTAGAGCCTCCCTCTAGAGGGGTGTAGGGGCCTCATCTATCGAGGGGCTCTCTGGAGCTCCCTCTAGAGGTCTAGTGGATGCCCTTCAGCCAGCAGGGGCCTGAGCAGGCAATTGCAGGGCTGTTGCGCCATCACGCGCTTCCAATTGGTATCCACGATCCAGCCTGCGGCAATTGTTCACGCCAACGTCGCTGGTCTTGAGCCAAAGGTGTAAGATCCCTTCTTTTCTATGATGCCCCCCACTCCCCGGGTCTTTAACTTCCTAACGCGGCGACGCCCGACCGCTGACACTTCCTGCCAATCACCGGCCAGCAGCTCGTTTGACGGTGAGGGCCCAGCGGACGAAGTTGACTTGACGAGACGGAGCTGGCGAGGGAAGCTGTCGATTGCCCAACACGTGGCACCGGATGAAGCTAGTGCGGGGCCTGTAGCATGTGTAGCTACTTTTGCAACTAAGATAATCCGGCACTGGTTGAAGCGGATGCGTGGCTTTGTTCGTTTGCTACTGGCGTCACTTTAACACGTTGCAACGGAGAGGAGGGAGAAGTTTTGTAAAGGAGTAGCAGCACCCCCCAACCCCCCCCCCCCCCCCCCCCCCCCCCCCCCCCCCCCCCCCCCACTGTGAACGTGCATGCCCGTTGAAATATCGCGCATTAGATTTGCCCCCGGCTTCATAACCTTGTGGGGGAAACCGCATCCCGTCAATTGTCCAAGTGATTAACTCGGCTCTTTTACAGCAACATGCAATGTGTGGGCGCCACGGTGGTTAGGAGATGTTAACTACCTCGCCTGGTATACAGGAGGTCTTGTGTTCGATCCCGACCCTGACGCCTGCTGTATATTTGGAGTTTGCGTGTCTCTCCCCGTGGTCGCGTAGATTTTTCGAGTGGATCCTGCGGGTTTTCCCTGCGGATTTAGAGTATTTGGCTGCTCTAAATTTCCACGTGATAAGCCACTTCGTTGAGCTATCATTTGTGGCCAAGGTCGCTTCTGCGAAAGAATTACATAGCTCAGTGGGGCCTTACCTGGTGAAATAAAAAAATGTTTCAGTTTACCAAGGTTCCCGCTCGATCCGCTAACGGAGAGCCGAGATTAACGGGCCCCCCCCCCCCTTTTCATAGCGCGCACCAGCTAAGTGTGCAGGCGGTGCAACTGCGCCGGGGCCCACGGGACCGGGGGGTGCCCAGACGCTGGGCTGTGAAGAGTAAGAGGGGGACAGGGAGGGAGGGGGCAGGTGGGGGGCCTTGTGATTCCGTGCACCAGCCAGCGCCCACGCTCATCACGCTATGCCACCTGCGCAGCTGAGCGCGTGCGTGCGATCCACGTGCCCATGCACGTGGATCGCACGCACGCGCTCGTTTAAGAAAATCGCCACTGTTCGTGGACTGTCGCGGCGAGGGCTGTTAGCGATCGCCTATTAAGGTCAGCACACACTCGGATGAATGAAGGGGGGTTAAAGTAACCAACGCCGTGCTGACCGCATTCGTCTTCCCCTCCCCCCCCCTTGTCCGACGTTCACGGCCGGAGCCGCACCAAGTGCCGTGCTCATTTTAGGCCGAGTCTACCTGCACGGCGGTGCGGGCCAGGTTCGGGTTGCGAGCGCCACCGACCTCGAGGCGTTATCGTCACGTGACGCGGAACCCCCCCCCCCCCCCCACAGTCGACTGGGACCATAGGGCAGCTGGCGCCCACGAGGCCACGCAACGCCTCGCGTGGGCGACAAAAGTCGCGCACGAAACCCCCGTCCCCGTATCTCTCTCGGAGGTGGGACTCGGCCTGACGACCACCCCCGCTGCGCGGTGTGCGGACACAGCAGGGCAACGATGCACTTGACACTGGGCCTCTCCACTCCACACACAGAGAGACCGGCGGTGTGTTACGCGTCCACGTTTTTGCATCTGCCATGCGCACCTCCAATGCCTCCCCCCCCGCCCCCTGCAATTCACGCCAATCCTTTCAAGAGCACGTTTCCAGCTCGCTGTAGCGTTTCACGATAATTAACAGGTTTTTTTTTTAACAACCCGCGTTCAAGCAACCTCCCCTCCCGCAGGACCGGTCGTATATAATCCAGAACACGTTTTGTAACAAGAAAAACACCAAAAAAACCCCGCCACTGCTTTTAGGACCGTGTAACTTGCTCGCCATGTGCTGCGACTCGGCTGTTCGACCAATTTCCTAAGAGCTTCCAGCACCACACGCACACCTTTTATGCAAGTTGATTATTGTTGTCCTGGATTCCACGGGGGGGGGGAGGGCTGAGATGAATTAAACGCTCGTTTTAATTAAGCAAAGGGCAGAGCAGTTTTTGCTCCCAATGTAAAGTCTCCAGGCACGGCGGGCGTCGCTTCACAAATTGCCGCGTGACTCGATGGCCGATGTCAATTTTAATGATTTTATAGAAGGGCTACAAAAGTTCAAATTTGCCACCACAAATGTTAAGTCTATACTTTTGAAATGTGCGTACCCTTTGTCAGTCCTCTCCCGGATGGAAGGCCTGCCAACGCTGCGTCAGTCACTTGTCTTTGACCATACTTCACCATATCGGTCAGTAGAAAGAAGAAAACAAAAACCCTCACTCACATTTTAAATGTCACGCCCAGAGATTTCATCGCTTTCGCTCATTTGGGCAAGGGTCGGCCCGAACGTTCCTACCGCATTGCCCCCGTGCTACAAACAAAAACCCAGCAGGTTTAAATAATAAACACACGCGCGCGCCCTCTGTGGTTACTCGCATCAGATCTGAGAACGCGTGCTCCACCAGGTCAGTGGTGGGTCCCGTTATTCGCCCGCAGGCTCCAGCCCTCCGGTGCCCACCGCGGTGGCCACCAGCCACACGGCCGGCTCCCTTCGCCAGACCCATGCCCTGCTGGAGGTGACGATCAATCCCACCTTTGCAAGCTGCTCCGCACAGCCGGCAGGAACATTGGGGAATCGGATCCAGCTGTCCCCGCCGTGCTGGTCAGCCTCTGGCGAAGCTGTGGTTGTCAATTCACGGCGTACGTTGAACTTCTTTCGCACACCGTGCGTGTTAGCCAACCCACCACGAGCGTCGTTGTGGGCCATCACTTACATTACCCTGGGGCTGCGCCCATTGTAAACCTTTATAAATAGTTTGCCTTTAGATGCTGACCCCCCCTCCCCTTTTCCTGATGACGATTGCTTGTGTTGCGATCGAAACGTCGTAGGATTGTTTTGTTACTTTCTTTGAACATATCTACGCGACTTTACCGAAGACCCAAAGAATACAAAAAATCAAGTTTTAAAGAAGCATATCTCTATGTAGATGTATACTGTATCTCACACTTTTGTCTGCATCTGTAACGAGAGGGTAATCGGACTGGACATTGAACATGAATTCGCAGCAGGGCATTTGAGCCACCTTGGGGAAGACAGCCTGCCCGTCCACGAAACATTCCCAGGGGGCCACCACCGAACCTCGCTGTGGTTTCTGAGTCGCTCGCATGGACGTGCACGCTTGTGGTAACGATGTGAATGGCTCCGTCATCGAACACACACACACAAACAAAAGTCAGCGCATTCGTCAACCAACACCGTGGCTTTGAAAGGGAACAGGCGACGTTTCGGGTTTCTAGCGCGCGCCCTGATAATGATTGTTTAAGGGCGCTTTGTACATCTAATTATTATTGTTAATGAGCCTTTATAGAACATCGCGTCGTCCCATTTTATATTTTTTCCTTCTCAAGGCCACAGTGTTAATGACGAATGTGCGGTTGTTGTTAATTGTGCGCCACTGCTGACAGAGCTACCGGAACAATAGCATCAAATAGTTGTGATGTGAATCTTTTTTTGCTGTGGTTGACGCACTTAACCCCATTAACCAAAGCGACACGATGTTGCTGTTTTTAATGGGTTTTTTTTTAAACACCTCTGAGGTGGCTGGGTGGCTCTGCGAGTCAACAGTGGTGAGCCGGCACTACCCAGCAAACATGATAACGTTCGACCAAAGGTTGACATGTGGTTAAACTAACGTTCGACGAATGTTAACATGTCGTTGAACGTTCGCCCAACGTTGACATGTGGTTGAACCAACGTTCGACCAACGTTGACATGTGGGTGAACCAACGTTCGACCAACGTTGGCGTGATTGAACCAACGTTCGACGAACGTTGACATGTGGTTGAACCAACGTTCGACCAACGTTGACATGTGGGTGAACCAACGTTCGACCAACGTTGTCGTGATTGAACCAACGTTCGACCAACGTTGACATGTCGTTGAACCAACGTTCGACCAACGTTCGCCCAACGTTCCAAACGTTCAATCTTTAACTTGGCCGTTACGTTCCTTGTGATTGGTTCACGTAAACCCTGCAACCACTAGAGGCGCTACACTCCCTACTGCTGATTCTGAATGTTTAAAAAAAAGATGATTTCATGGAATCGTTACCACATCGTGGCAATTCATCGAGTCGCAGAGAGGAGGGAGGGAGGGGTGAAGTTACATTCCTGATAATGATTATACGAACCCTTCAATTCACATTCCAAAACTGCACGAAATAATTAAGCATCGTATGTACTTCCCATCCATCAACACTCTAATCGTTACTGTACCTACCCCATATATATATTTGAGCAAAAATAAGCATGTATGTTTGTCCTGCATATAAAAAAGTGACATGTTTTATCCGTAACATCCATAATAACCACGTGCTGCTTCTGAATGATCATTAACGAACTGCGTGTATGCCAGGATACGCTTATATACCAGGGGTGGGGGGAGACCCTCTGGCCCACGGGCCAGATTCGGCCCGTGGCTTCATTTCACACTGCCCGCGAGGGTTGCCACCTCCAAGGTAACAAAAACACTGGGACATATCCATGGGAAGAATATCTCCCATGAATAAATACACGTTGATGCATTGTCTAGAGTGGTATATAACTGTGCAAATTACAAAAACCGGGCTATTTAATGTCCTGGGAAGTTATTAAAACATATCAGGATGGCTACAACTCCGAAAAATCCAGGATGGGTAGCAACGCCATGGCCCGCGGCCGCATGAGACCTGCCAATTTAAAACGGCCCATGAATATATATATCCATTACTGCAGGCATCGTAGCCATACTAATTGGATACTCGAGGGGCATATTTATTGAGCTCCCCAACAACATTGCATTTATTTGTTATGCACATTCATCTCTTGCTGTCTCACCGAGCATTTTCAAGGTCGCGGCTGAACTTTCAGTATGTGGAACGCGACCAGCAGCTCAGCCAGAGCGCGAGGTATACTGGTTGGTGTGCCGAGTGCGGAAATATATTCCGAGTCTCTCACCCGGACAAACCGGATTGAAACGAAGGCCCGGCGGTAATTATTTTTCACCTTATTATTGGATAACGCCGAAAAAGATGGGCGTTATTAACACGTGGGTTCCACAAGAGGGGAACGAAAAATTCATTTTGGCTCCCAAGTTAAGGGGAAAGGTTCCCAAACCCCACCCCTGGTTAACGCAAGCCGATTGTGATGCTCGTGTACTATCTCCATGTGTGCGACGCCGTCGAACCTAAACGCACCCGCGTCGTCATATGCACCTAAAACCTCACCCACCCCCCGCGTATGTTAACCACCAGGCATCCACCTTTGTCCGCGCGTCTGTCTCGCGTAGAGTGTGTGCGCACGCAATGTTACGAAGCACGCACGATTGATTAAAAGTGTAAATTGACTAAAAGCCTCGTGGGCGGCGTACCTTCGTACGAGCCAAACGATGCGTGCGAGTGCGTGGTTTATGGATTATTGAACGCGTGGCGAATGCACTCCTCTGGGGCCCAAGTCTCCGTCTCCTTCGTATATCTGACCGCACATAAAATGAAAGTATTCTCAACACAATCCATGGGCCCCACAGCTTTCTGGGAGTAAAGTAAAAATCTTTGCTGCTGAAATTAATAACTCCCAGAGGGCCGTGCGGGCAAATGGTTGTGTAAATACTATTTTTTTTATGTGGAGAGACATATACGAGACGTTATCTGCTTACATATTTTGCAAATCAGAATTCGAACGGAGGCTTGCCGTGGTGGATGGCAAGGACTGGAGTACGCACTGTACTGAATTGCCCTGAAGTTGTGCCGACTGCAGGGATTACTGGTTGGGGTTTGTAGGTCACTGGCTTCCCCACTTCGGCGAACACCCCGCGTTGTCGCAGCACGCTTAGTCATAATATGGAGAACACACCAGGGCTGGAGTTTTATTTATAAAAACGGACACGGCTCACAATGCGAATCTTAACTCGCTCAATCGCTTTTCGACACCGACGCGCGCACAAAGCAGAAATTAGATTATGTGATGTTTGGGGGCAAGTGAGATAGTGGCCAGAGCAACTGTTATCAGCTATTCAATCTGTATGGTTCCTCTGCGATATATATAAAAATAAATTACACCGCCTGAAAACGTCACCGATTATATAATTTCTTTCTTTAGGGCAATGTCATCGACAGATGTGTTCTTTTGTGCTCATACATCACGGCTATTTTGTGAAGTCAAAATCAACGAGTCGCAACCACTGCTTCTCCATAACCCTTTCGGGGAGCGGTGGTGCCAGAAGTTTTAAGCGCTCTGTGCTCTGAACCTGGCTGACACGAGTTCGCTTCCCAGCCACGGCTAACATCAGTGGCGAGCGATATCTGAACCGGCCCTGGATACACCCCCCTCCGCCCCCCCCCCCCCCTATATCTTCACCAACCCATAAGAACCAGCGTAGTGAAGTGCGCTCACATAACCCCCACGACGAACACAGTGTGGTGAGGCCCTCACCCAGCCGAAATAAAGATTCGTTCATGTACACACGGCCCTCATTGGCAGGCCAGGAGAGCCGATGATCGGGGGAAAAAAAACGACAAGTCCTAATGCTTCTTCTTTTTCGCGGGAGACTTCATCAAAGCTTCTTGCTGTCCCACTCCTCGCTTCACAGCTCCCTCGCACGCCGCTTGACGTGACCCGGACTCGAACTCAGACCCAGGCTGACGCGGTCCAGCCTGACCCTGTCCAGGAGCTTTGTCACCACCACCACCGTCGTCGTCGTCATCGTCGTCATCATCATCGCTCTCGTCCGCCTCTTCTCCTAGAAAACAGTAACAGAAGCTCGTTTAACACTCACACAGCGCTCTCATCATCAGCATCATCATCTGCTATACTAAACCAACCCTAACCTAACCCTAACTATAACCTAACCATAACATAACCCTATCCTAACTCTAACATCACCCTTACCTAACCCTAACCAAACCCTAACTAAACCCTAAACTAACCCCAACCTAACCCTAACCAAACCCTAAATTAACCCCAACCTAACCTAACTCTAACCTTTGTGCAAAGAGTGGACGTTATTTTTTTGGTCAATTTCAAGCGAGGCAAGAATAACCGAATTGGATGGGAGCGGTGGTGGAGTTGTTTAACGCACTGCACTATGAGCCCGGCACCACGTGTTCGATTCATGACCACGGCAATCATCAGTGGCGAGTGACATCCGATTCAGTGATGAACCTGAAGCATGGTGAAATAATCTCCACGATCGACCACGCGCAGGGAGGCCTTCATCCAGCAGTGGATTAAAAAGGGTGTCTGTAAATGAGAACCCAATGGAATATTTACAAGATCGGGAGGTAATACAGTGTACGTTAGCAGGTGCAGTAGTTCAGTGCGCTAACCACTACGCCACCGCTCCCCCACACCAACACAAAGCAGAATGTCCGACCGCCGTTCGCCACTGTGACGTCACCACGGCGTTTGTGCCAGGCTAGGTGCACACTGTGGGTGTACAAAGACACAGACTGTTTTCGGCAAGTGCTATTCGCGAGCGAGCAGCAGCAGCACCACCTATGAAGGCCGGAACTGTGGCACACGAGGGGGTGGGTGGCCAGCACCACGCCCGGCCGCCTTTGTCTCCCCGGTGGCGACGTTTATTGCCCATCACAGCACCAGCTACTCGCTTGGAGGTGTAAATACAGCAACGTCTATGCACACACACACACGCGGTGCATGTACGCGGTCTGAACCGATCGGCGTGCGCTTGACTATAGTTGAACAACACACCACAGAACACACACAAACACAGGAATCGTCATATCACTGTTTCCCAATCCACATCCTATCGCTGGGCCTAAGCCAAGGGATTCATTTTCTCTCGCGCTACGAGAGGGCCAAAGCAAAATCCCCGCGGTGGCTGCGGCTACTGAAGCAAGGCGAGAGAGAGAGGGGGGCCCACAACAACAACAACCTCCTCCTCCTCCTCCACCCCGCCACCACCGCCCAACTCGCCACGCGTTCGTTGTTTCTCCCTACCAGCCGAGCCTTCTCCACCACCGCCGCCGCCGGTAGCCGCCGCAGTCTTCTCCTGATCCACCAACTCGGTCAGTGCCTCAGAGACCTCCTCCCGGAGGGTCTGGAGGGCCCGCGCCAAGCCCCGCACGCCGCCACCGCCGCCGCCCGCGGGCACCGCGAACCGCCGCCTCTGCCCGTCGCGGTGCAGCAGCGAGGCCCGCAGCTCGGACGACATCGCCGGGGACGGTCGCTTCACGGTGGGGGGTGGAGGCTGGGAGGGTGGGGGGGTGGAGGGGCTGGGCTTGGTCGGCAGCGGGGGGGGGGTCTTAAAGACGCCTCGCCGCTGCTCCTCCTCCTGCTCTTTAACTTCTGTGTTGTCGGCCTTCAAGACTGCTGCAACTTCGCTGATAGCAGACCCCACCCCCCCATCTCAGTATGTGACAGGCTACACGGTGGGATCTTTGTTGTAAATACCAAGGTTCTTTGCAAACCCACGGGCTTTTATCAGAGATTTGTTCATGAAGCAATTCAGATCTACAAACACAGACACAATTTCAACCGAGAGGATGGTTTCAAATTAAGCAACCATTGGAAAGATGTTCTAAATCGAACTAAACATTAAACTAATTTCAATGGTACAGTATATTTTTCAAGTAGTGGTACCCCAAACTTTCGCAGCTCTTATAAATTCCCTTTTCACACCAGCAAGTCCACCGGCACGTACACCACCTCTTTCCTAAAATCCGCCAATCAAATGCTAATTTTATGCTAATTTCTTTGTCAGAACACCTTGTTTGCTCGCACACAGTTTAAAGGTCCGATGTATGAGCGTGGTTGTGTTTCGCTAAATTCTCCTGTTTGATGAGTACTAGGTGCCTCGGTGAATGTATATGCTCTGACTTTAACATAGCTATTTCTGTGACCAGTCACAAGCTAATCACTCAGTTATTTCAATGCTAAATTCGCCTAGTTATTTCAATGCTAAATTCTCCTGTTTGATTTGTACTAGGTGCCTCGGTGAATGTATATGCTCTGACTTTAACATAGCTATTTCTGTGACCAGTTACAAGCTAATCACTCAGCTATTTCAATGCTAAATTCTATGCTAATTCCTTTGTCAAGGGGTACCTCTGCGGATGTGTATACTTTAACTTAGCTATTTCAATGAGCCATTTCAATGCTAAATTATATGCTAATTCCTTTGTCAAGGCGCTTGGTGTTTTTCTTCTCACACAGCTTAAAGGTCGTGATCTGAGCGTGGCTTCTTCCACTCCAGCGCTGTCCTCCAGACAGTCTCGTCCCTTCACCTGATGAAGGCCGCTTGTGTTGTGGCCGAAACGTCGTGATTTTTTGTTATTTTATTTTCACCTACGTGACTTTACCCAATAGAACCAAAGAGTATGGATCCTAGCAGTCACGAAAGCTTTAAATCTAGAAGGGATCTTTGTTTTTGTTGTTAGTTGTGGTGGTGATGATGATGGTGGTGGTGATGGGGGGCAACAGGCGTGGGGGCGGCTGGGAAGGGAAACGACCACCAACCCCACTACCAACCCCACCACCACCAACCCCACCAACAACAACACCACCAACAACATCATCACCACCAACAACACCACCACCCCCAACAACACCAACAACAACAACCCCACCACCACCCCCCCCACCAACAACACCACCACCAACCCCACCACCAACCCCACCAACAACAACACCACCAACAACACCATCACCACCAACAACAACACCATCACCACCACCACCCCCACCACCACCCCCAACAACACCACCACCCCCACCAACAACAACACCACCCCCACCACCACCAACACCACCCCCAACAACACCACCACCACCCCCACCACTCCACTCCGCCTCCCCCTGCCGCCTTCCTCTTTGACCCCGGACGTTGTTCAACAAAAACAAGAAATGGCGGCAAATCGCGAAGGGAAGAAGCGAGGCCTTGACGAGGCGGGCGACGAGGGGAAGCGGGCGGTGGAGGACGAGGAGGAGGATGATGAGGAGGAGGATGAAGAAGAGGAGGAGGATGCGGTGCTGTCCATGATGGAGGTGATGCAGCAGAACGAGGATCTGGAGAGCGAGGCCGATGCGGTGCTGGGCGCCAGCGACTCGGACCTATGCTCATATGCGAAGGTGACTCCACCACCATCATCATCATCTATGTAGTATAGTTTCATTTATTTGGTTTAACCCTGCGAGCCAATCGGCTCTTGATTCGGGTGCAACCGCAACAAACAATAAAATGGCAACAAGATACATTTAAAATTAACTGTACGCAAATTGAAACATCCCCTACAAAAGAAATAAAATTTTCCAGATAAAAGCACAATTTGTTTATGCTACGTACAAAAATTTGCACAAAAAAAATCCCATTTTGATGTTAGATCACATTAACAATCATAATACAATATAGATTAAAATTGTAAGTATAACTCTATACTACATACAAAAAAATCGGGCTAAACTAAACCATTTTACCAATATGACTTGTAAAGTTTTACTGACTTGTAATGAATATTTCTCAATAGCAGGTCCTGTCGTGTGGTAAGAGGTAATCACATGGACCTCAGAATTAGTTACGTGAATCTGCATGTGCTTCGTTCTCTAAATTCATTACTCGTCCTTTGCATGAATTGTCTGTTCTCCCAAGCCGGGGGGTCACGGCGCCAGTCGACCACGTGGGGGACATCATCAGCAGGATGATGATCGCTAGCAGCAGCAGCAGCATCAGGATCATGAGTAGGATCGTCGTATGCAGCGGTTTAAGGACGGGATCATGATGATGATCAAATATTATTACGACCACTGCGGTTCGTCATCATCAAGCAGTCGAATTTTATAGCAGCAGCAGTAGGATCATCAGCAGCAGTAGGATCATCAGCAGCAGCATCGTCAGCAGTAGGATCATCAGCAGTAGGATCATCAGCATTATCAGCAGTAGGATCATCAGCAGTAGGATCATCAGCAGTAGGATCATCATCAGCAGTAGGATCATCATCAGCAGTAGGATCATCAGCGGTAGGATCATCAGCGGTAGGATCAGCAGCAGCATCATCAACAGTAGGATCATCAGCAGAAGGATCATCAGCAGTAGGATCATTAGCAGCATCATCAGCAGTAGGATCATCAGCAGCATCATCAGCAGTAGGATCAGCAGCATCAGCAGTAGGATCAGCGCTACCACCGCTCGTCATTATCGGCAACATCAAAGTCGGTAGCAGTCGTAAATCATCAGAAGCAGTCATTAATCGCCATGAATATTTCTCATCGTGAACGTCTACCTCGACGATCAGTGTCATTAGTCGCAATCATTATCATCATCACCACTCCGAGGTCGATAAAATGGTTATCGCTTTGTAGTAAGTTTTGTCATAGCGAACGCTTTGGTGGGAGCAGTAGGAACACGGCTCTGTGGGCCAGCATTCGGCCAACTCCTTCCCGCCATAGGAATGTTGGAGAGTTATACCACTGGCTGGGCGCTCTCAAGAGAAGATTATGATACTAATTGTAATAAATTGGTATTATTTTATGACCTATACGTGACGATCACAGGGTTACCCGGCCACAACATCAGATTGAGGTAGGTGTATTATGCACATTAGGAGATTCTCGCCTGTTTTGCCAAATTCGCACTTGGCTTACAGTCGAATGAACGATGATTGGAATGAGTGAGTGAGTGAGTGAATGAACGAATCGCCGTACAGGCCACCAATCCCCTGACCTTTCCCCTCTCACCAGGGCTACGTGAGCCGCCAGGCGCTGTATGCGTGCAGCTCCTGCACGCCACGTGGCGGGGAGCCGGCCGCGATCTGCCTGGCGTGCAGCTACACGTGCCACGAGGGTCACGACCTGTACGAGCTCTACACCAAGAGGTGGGCCACACCACACCCTCCTGCACCTCCAATCACGCCTCGCCCAGCCCGCACTGCACCGCCCCTCGCCGGCGCCTTAGTGCCGCATCTCACCGCATCTCACCACAACACACCGCACCGCTCCCTCCCCAGCCCTCCAGCGGCGCATCTCAACGCACCACGCCGCACCTCACCGCATAGCCCCTCACCGCCCTCAGCTCCGGATCTCACCACAACACACCTCACCGCACCTCACCTCAGCACACCGCACCGCCCCTCACCGCCGCATCTCACCACACCGCGTCTCGGCTCGCCACACCGAACCGCACCACCGGAGCAATCACATCTCACCCACTCTTACCCTGCGGCGGCGGAGAGTAATTTATTGTTGATCGGAGACGCGTGGATAGTAGCACTGCAGTGGATTAGAAAACGTTGATATACTGACAGATAGAAAAAATGGGACAAACACTAAAAAGTGTGCAAAGAAACGCGGGAGATGCGTACACAGAGACACAGGGATAAGAGAAAGAATGCTCATCGGAGACATCGTTTTGATCGTTTTACAAAAGTTAACTGGGCTCGAACGGGTCTGATCGCGAGAAGGGATGGTGGTCGGCAGACTTGACCGATGGCAATTCGCAGTTAAAGGAAAAGAGTTGATGTGTCTGATAGGACGACCCGCGGTTGTCTTTACTGCAGGCAGCTACCGCGCCTCCGTTTAGCACGGTTGGCTACGTACAGTGTGAAAGAAGCTCAACACATGTATGTACGCTGTAGAGATTGAGCAACGAGGTCAGTTTTACTGGACATCTGTGAAAAAAGAGCTTTGTAGCTCGTCGGATTCCTCCAGTATAAATACATATTCAGATCCGATTCGGTTGAAGTGCAGGAGTGAGATGGATTGTGCCATCGCAGAACTGTCAGGGATGGTGACGGAATCGGGAGGCCTTTATCCAGCAGTGGATAGGCCATAGGTCATGCTGATGATAGCTTTAATGGCTTTGTAAAATCAGTGAGTGGGAATGTCATAGTCAGCCTACACTTCATGGGCAGCTAGCACCGTCTCTGCTTCTGCCTCCATCGCATGGAATTCCTTCCAATGGTTATGTTTACTGCAGACAGCCACCAAATCCATGGAAACTCTTTATAATGATTCATTCTGAATGTATCATCACCTGTGATCAATTCGCTACTGGATGAAGGCCAGGTTCGTTGCGGAAGGCAGAAACCACTGCACCCACTGCTCCCACCCTCTAAGAATTTTGTGGGAAGCTCACCTCTGTATTCTGCATTTCTGCGATGAGGCGACGGTGTTGACAAAAGTGGTGACGTTGTTGTCGGTTTGTACTTGTGCACCGCTGCTAACAGTCCCTTGATTTTTGTACCGGAGGGAGGATGGATGAGAAAACAATTTTTGTTCTTTGCGGTGCACTGCACATCGGCTAACATTTTGCCTGCCCCAGTCATCGTTTAAAAAAAACACATTTCTAACCCCACCACTACTGTACTGTGTGTGCGCGCGCCGTGCGTAAGGCGAGCCGTGCCACGTGTGCCTTTTTGTTTTTCAGAAATTTCCGCTGTGACTGCGGCAACGCTCGATTCCCTGGCGTTGCCTGCAAACTTCTGCCCGTAAGTTGCAGCGTGCTGCGGGGCACTTCTTTTTTTTTGCCTCGCTCTTCGGTGCCGGTGGGTGGATGCCGGTCAAATTTTAGCGCAACCAAAGACCTAAATTTGGATGGCCGTAATGGGTTATTTGATTCCTTTCCCTGTTACCAAATCGCCACAGAATGTGGCTGATCTCGTCGGATGTCAGAAACCAAGCGGCATTAAGCATGGACATTGCATGTGTGTATGCATGTTGAACTTTTTTCGCACCGTACGTAGCCAACCTTGCTCATCGGAGGTGGATGGGTGACCGCCGTGTGTGAAACAGGTGTTGTCGGCTGTTGCAGGTCTACGTTGTCAGCAGAAGGCACTGCATCAGAATCCATAGTGGTACTGTACTATGATATAACGTCTATGCTCCCTACCTTCACCAACCCACACTGAGCAGTGTGGTGAATTATAATCAAATAACCCGCACTGCCTGGGGAGGCCCTCATCAGGCGGTGGATTACATGTGGATTTATTTGGGTATATATAGCATCAAGTTATAAGTTTTGATTTCGGTAACATTTTTGTGATCTCTTTGGCTTTTAACTGCGAATGGCATACAGGACAAAGAGGCATCGAATCCCGGCAACAAATACAACCACAACTTCTTTGGGTTGTACTGCACCTGCAAGAAGCCCTACCCTGATCCGGACGACAAGGTGAGAGTGATTACAAGGGTAGCAAATCTTCTTCACGGGACCTAACTGATGTCCTTAGCTCGGTCGGCATTCTCACTCGGATCAGCCTAACCTAACAGTAGCTGCATCTCCAATGATCAACCGAACATTACAGTAAAACCCTTGGATTGCGAGCATAATTCATTCCGGAAATGTGTTTGTAATCCGAAGCACTCGTATAAACCAAGTGAATTTCCCCATAAGAAATCATGCAAACTCAGATGATTCGTTCCACAACCCAAAAATATTCATATAAAACGATTAATACAAAATACCTTTTTATATTTTTATTATTTAAATTTAATATAAAGTCATCAAATTTATTAATTAAATTTCATTGTGGCTGGTGTGAGGGAGACGAGAGAGAGGAGAGGAGGAGGAGCCTTATTGTGTAGGGTGACTTTCACTGTCACTAACGGAATCACTGCTATCTGTTGGCTTACTGGAATATTTTTCTTTTTGTGCGACTTTAACAAGGAACCTATCCAATGACACTTGCTTTTGCCTCCTTTTGAGGATTTCGCTTGCACTGCTGCAGCCTTATTCGGGTGGTGCTTTTCTAAAGAACAGTCACTAGACTTGGACACAAAATAAAAAAATGCTTTACGCACACACACGTGGTCACAACACTATACTGTAGTAAACAGTATACACGTGGTCACAACACTATAGTACTCTAGTAAACAGTATACACGTGGTCACAACACTATAGTACTCTAGTAAACAGTATACACGTGGTCACAACACTATAGTACTCCAGTAAACAGTATACACGTGGTCACAACACTATAGTACTGTAGTAAACAGTATACACGTGGTCACAACACTAGTACTGTAGTAAACAGTATACACGTGGTCACAACACTATAGTACTGGAGTAAACAGTATACACGTGGTCACAACACTATAGTACTGTAGTAAACAGTATACACGTGGTCACAACACTATAGTACTGTAGTAAACAGTATACACGTGGTCACAACACTATAGTACTGTACTAAACAGTATACACGTGGTCACAACACTATAGTACTGTAGTAAACAGTATACACGTGGTCACAACACTATAGTACTGTAGTAAACAGTATACACGTGGTCACAACACTATAGTACTGTAGTAAACAGTATACACGTGGTCACAACACTATAGTACTCTAGTAAAGAGTATACCCGTGGTCACAACACTATAGTACTGTAGTAAACAGTATACACGTGGTCACACCACTATAGTACTCTAGTAAACAGTATACCCGTGGTCAAAACACTATAGTACTGTAGTAAACAGTATACACGTGGTCACAACACTATAGTACTGTAGTAAACAGTATACACGTAGTCACAACACTATAGTACTGTAGTAAATAGTATACACGTGGTCACAACACTATAGTACTGTAGTAAACAGTATACACGTGGTCACAACACTATAGTACTCTAGTAAACAGTATACACGTGGTCACAACACTATAGTACTGTAGTAAACAGTATACACGTGGTCACAACACTATAGTACTGTAGTAAATAGTATACACGTGGTCACAACACTATAGTACTGTAGTAAACAGTATACACGTGGTCACAACACTATAGTACTGTAGTAAATAGTATACACGTGGTCACAACACTATAGTACTGTAGTAAACAGTATACACGTAGTCACAACACTATAGTACTGTAGTAAACAGTATACACGTAGTCACAACACTATAGTACTGTAGTAAATAGTATACACGTGGTCACAACACTATAGTACTGTAGTAAAGAGTATACACGTGGTCACAACACTATAGTACTGTAGTAAACAATATACACGTGGTCACAACACTATAGTACTGTAGTAAACAGTATACACGTAGTCACAACACTATAGTACTGTAGTAAACAGTATACACGTGGTCACAACACTATAGTACTGTAGTAAACAGTATACACGTGGTTACAACACTATAGTACTCTAGTAAACAGTATACACGTGGTCACAACACTATAGTACTCTAGTAAACAGTATGCACGTAGTCACAACACTATAGTACTGTAGTAAACAGTATACACGTGGTCACAACACTATAGTACTATAGTAAACAGTATACGCTCACACGGATGTTGACTATACGAGTGAGGCACGCCGACTGAGACCGAGCATGGGAGATGATTACCCACAATCCCGCAGCGAGAGAGAGAGAAGAACCATCGGCTCAGTTGTGATCACGTGACGCTCGGCAGACAAAGCTAAAATTTATTGAAAATTTTTGCTCGTATTCCAAATCACTCGCAGACCAAGTTACTTGCAATCCAACTGTATACACACACATCATCCAAGCAATCAAACGGCTAACGTTCATACAGACCAGACCGTCGACTAACATACCATCCAACCGTGTCTCCTATGACACAATTATTAGGAGGCATCAAAACGAATCACACCCCACACTCCCAGAGACAATGCAAACTGTTGTTATAAATTCACTCGTTTGGTTAATCGTATTTTCTTTGTATTTCCTGCTCTGGTAACGTTTAATATTTAGTCGAAGGCATAAATTTACCTGTGGTGAAAATTTTGTTGGAACCTTTTGTCCACGCAGACTCCTGATGAAATGATCCAGTGCATCATATGCGAGGACTGGTTACACGGGCGGGTAAGTACAAGATGCAGCCCTTGTCCTCCATGGCACATTGTACCACATCTCCATGAACCACAGAACTACACACATGTGTTGGGACCAGTGTTCATTTAGTAAAATATGTCGGTTTTTTTCGTCTCGGTCAAGTCAACGACAGCCTGTGGAATTCTATTTGTAATCTTTGCGGATTTCGTTCGTCGAGTCGACTTTGTGGATACTTATCAAGCCAAATGTCCTCTTTGGTCTTCCTCACTGCACCTAAGTCTCCACCTAAGTCTCCAATAATGTGACTAAATTATCTTACTCTGCCGCTTTCTTGAGACTTGTTATTTGCCCTGACATGTTCAATCACGCTTAGTTCGTTGGCAAAACATGCATAGTCATCGTCGCGCTTGATGATTTTCGTCCATTCAAAGCCGTCTTTGCATGTTGAACCGTACGTAGCCAACTGTGCTAATCGGAGATGCGGGCGAGGGAAATAAATTAGATTTTTTTTCATCACTTTATAAACGAGTTTTCAATTTACGAGATGGCTATACGAAAACGCTCCATTGACTCGCCACGTTCGTTTCGTAAAACGAAACTTAAACTGCTGGTCGGGACGCACCTCTCTCCGTGTTCGCGCAGCACCTGGGCGTGGAGGCGCCGGAGAGCGTGGAGTACCACGAGATGGTGTGCGGGGGCTGCATGGCGCGCTGCTCCTTCCTGTGGGCCTACGCCGTCCCGTCCGCAGGTGACACCGTCGCTCGCGTGGCCCGACCGTGCAGGCGGTGCAGCGGCACCGGGGCTCGCAAGGGGGGCGCGGAAATGGAGTGACGAGATCGGTTCGCGCGCGGAAACTAGATGGATCGTTGCATCGCGAGACCCTCGGAGAAAGAGAGGATGGCGACGTCTTGGGGAGACCTACATCCGCGTAACCCTGCCTGTACATTTTTAGTGGCATTTAATACATTTTCAGTATACAGTCGATTATCGATTATACCCGGCGGCTTCGGTGGGGGGATGGAGCGCCGGATTTTCAAAAACGCTGGATAATCACATTAATTAAAATAGCTTACTTGTGCTCATACTTGTATGATACGTTTTTAGGTGTTTTTCAATTTGTTTACGATGTGAAATTGGCATAAATGAAAATACAAATAGACAAAAATAAATATCTTGTAAAAAGTTACCGTATTTACTGTACCATACCACTCAAATCTCGAAGACTGTATGGGGTGATGTATATACTTGCAGTATTTTCATTGTTTTATTTGTATGTAGTGTATAATGCACTATATATTATTTAACACTGACATCAAGCATAGCTATTTTTTTTTGTGACACACATAGTGCCGATTGCCGGACTGGCTACAGCCTTTGGAGCGGTTTTTGCCGGCTCAGCCCCAGGATCGCTGGATAATGTTGGAAGCCGGATGATCGCGCGCCGGATAATCGACGATCAACTGTAATTGGACGTGTTCGCATTGAGTGTGGCGTGCAGCCTACACTTCTCGGTCTGTCGCCCCCCCTTGGCCCCACCCGACCTGCAGTGGTGAAGCTCGTCAACGAGGAACACGAAGGCTCGCTGGTCGTCGACGATTCCCCGCGCAGGTCCCGCGCCGAGGTGACCTCGAGCGGGACCGCCCGCGAAGACGGCGTCAAGGTAATGATGGGGCGGATTGAGGTGGCCGGTGCCGCTGTGGGCCGTCGGAGCAACTGAAAAACCTGGGTTCGAATCCAGGTTGCGGCCGCCTGTGATTGATAGACTGGATTCTCACGTGCACAGAGGCCCACAAAACTCGCGTAACGTCTCGTAACCCCCCCCCCCTCCCCCACCCGCGACCCTCACGGCGAGTGGAGACCCTCGTCCGGCAGTGCATTGACAGCAAGGGCCGTGCTCGTGCGCGTGTTGGCGCGCGCGCACACACCCGTCGCGACATCTCTTGTGGTTTACGAGGGCGCTCGTTCTATCGCTTTGCTCAGCCGTCGCCCGGCGACGAAGACGGTAGCGAGGAGAGCGAGGCGCCGGTGGTGCCAAAGGAGGAACCTCGCGACGGCGCCCCGACGCCCAGGGAGAACGGGGCCGGCGCGGCAGAGCAACGTTCCCCCTGCCTGCTGACGGAGCTGCGCGCCGGGGCGGTCGCCGCTGCCCAGCTGCCCGGCGGCACCGCCACGTTCTGGCCGCAGCAGTGGCGCTGCAAGCTGTGCTCTTGCGCGTCGTGCCAGGCGAGTGCGCCAAACGCGAGGAGTGGCGAGGCGGAGCGAGGGAGGATGTTGCGCGTGGCCCGGCAGCGCCGGAGTTGCCACCTCTTGAGATGGACAAGCAAACGCGGACGCTTGATGGCAAGAGGGATATCTCGCCGGAGGGGAAGAAAGGAGAAGAAGCTCGAGTTAACGCATTGTCTCGGGGCGGTGTATTATCATTACGGAATTGACAGGAAACGGGAGTTTAAAAATGAATGACATTTCCCTGGAGAGCCGTCTCAAAAAGAGGACAATGCTGGGAAAACCAGGGCAGGTGGGAGCACCCGAGGCAACGCCCTTAGCCGTAACTGAAAGATGGACTGAGCCACGCCTGATGACCCCGGTTCGATTTCCAGTGATGGCTAACATCGAAGGCGATATCTAAACAAATTCTATCGCTCTTTTCACTTCACCATTGTGGGGAGGCCTTCATCCAGCAGTGGATTGACAAAGGGGCTGTATTTAGTTTCCATTAGTTCATGTCGTGGCATGTACAAACCTGGGCAGTCCAAACGTTTCACTCGAAATATGTCACAGCGTTCAGAAGAAATGAATTAAACATGTATTTGATAGAGAATGATGCTGCTGGACATAGCAGCCAAAATAAGCGCAGCTTCGTCTATAATATCTCCACAAATAAACTCCACTTGGCTATGATCCTTAATAGGCACACACTGTGCCCTTGATTCCAAACAAGGATTTATATCTGCGTGCGTATTTATATGTAAAATGCAGTTGAGGTAAAGGTTAAGCTGACTAGTACGGCTATGGGGGGTATTTGTACAGTATGAGAACATGACTGCAGGTTCCCTTATGGAATGGTGGAACGTTGTAAGCTGCTTTGCTTTGCTCTAATATATTGACTTACGTAGCGCAAGCGCCAACCCTCACCATCGCTCATGTGCAGGAGATATTTTATTATTTTCTCTTGCCATTGGATGCGGTGCTGTAATTAAACACTTGACGGATTCATTTGTCATTGACGCTGCATTGCAGCCGTTCCGTTCACTTACTGCCTAAATCCTTATATAAAAAAAAAGGTATTTTAGAATTCCTCCGTGGCAAGCGTTGCTGGATATGTGATTCATCGTATGTTTTCATTAGCCGGTGGGTTGATGACGGAGGCCAGGATAGAGTGGGTGGGGCTGTCACCTTCATGGGTTATCCCGCCACTGCATGCAAAAGCTGGTTGCTGTAGTACTTCCGGGGCATGACGTGGCTACCAACCAGCGCAGAACAAGCCTTGTGAAGTCTGCTGCACCTAATGCCGATGACCCTCACGTCGTGGGGAGCAGTTTGATTGACAAAGCAGGTTAATGACAATGGCCTCGGCCACGTATGCGTGTGTGTTGAACTTCTTTCGCACTGCACGTCGCCAAACGCGCTAAACGGAGGCGCGACTGACGCTCGTGCATCGGCGGGTCGACAGAAGGGCTCTCCACGTTCACGCGAGCCGTCGCATTCTCCCAGCATGTTGGTTTCATAAGGTGTATGTATTAAATGATGACAAAGCACACCCGCGAAATACGAACTTGATTTTCGTGTTAAACTGCGCGTCGTCGACAGGCGATGTACGACGAGCTGGGCGTGCGCTTTCTCCTGGACGAGGCGGACACGGTGCAGGCCTACGAGGCGCGCGGGAAGCTCGGGGCGGACAGCGTCGGAGGAGGAGGGGGCAGGGCGGCCGGGTCCAGCGCGGGGGGCGCGGACCCACTCATGGCGGCGCTGGGCACCATGAACCGCGTGCAGCAAGTGGAGCTCATCAGCGGTACCTCCTCGTCCTGCTCCTTCGATTCATCCCAATCCTGCTTTCACTCCTGCGCCTCCCTTCACTCCTCCTTTCGCTCCTCCTCCTGACGTTCTCCTCCTGCTGCTACTTCCTCCCAGTCACTCTTTTGCTCCTTCTCCCAACACCTCTTCCTCGTGTCGCTCCTGCTCCTGTACCTCCTCAGTCATTTTGCTGCTCCTCTTCCCTCATCCGTCCACTCTCTCTTCTACTCCTCCTCCTGCTCCTCCACTTCTTGCTCCTCATCCGCCTTTTACTTATCTTTCCTCCTTCGCCTGCTCCTCTTCCCTTCACCCTTGCTCCCTCCTCTGCTCGTTCTAATCTTGTTTTTTGTTAAACCACGGCGGGGGGGAGCAACCCTCATCTTTACTGAGGTTCAATATGGGGGGCAACCGCACCCCGTCAATTGGCCAAGCGATTACCTCGGTTTTAAAACAGAAACATGTGTGGCCGCCACGGTGGCGAGATGTTAACTATCTCGCCAGTTCTCCACAAGGTCGCGGGTTCGATCCCGACCCTGACGCCTGTATATGTGGAGTATTCACGTTTCTCCTTATGGTCGCGTGGATTTTTGTCCGGGTCCTCCGGTTTTCCCTCCACATTTAGAATCAACGTCACGCGTTTAGAGTATTAGAGTAAGGACCACAAGCTGTAAATTTCCGCAGGATAAACCACTTCGTTGAGCTATTATTTGTGATAGCCAGGTCGCTTCTGAACAAGAGCTGTATAACGCAGTGGGTATTACCTGGTAAAATTAAAAATACAAATACTTCATAGGCTTACGTTTATTCAGTACATAGGCCACACTGCCAGTGTAGTCCTGTAATGTTTTATTGGCTTAACAACCTAACACTCTGCATCCCTGGAGTGTAACTAGAGCTGACGAGTAACCGAGCCTGGTCACTTTGAGAGACAAGGCAGGATTACACGAGAGACTAGAAATAGGATCGTAGATTTATAAACATGCAGGTTAAAGACATCGTTGTTACTGTTAACACTGCAAAGTTGGTTTCTGCAAGGTGTGTCACTAGAAAGGACGATGGCACCCGATAGGTTACGACCGCTGCGGAGATGGAGGGATGAAATCGGCTCACGAGCAGGCGGAGGGTGGAATCCGATGAGCTATAAAGCTCTTTTTCACAGATGTCCAGTAGTGGCGGCTTAGAACGCCACAATTGTTACGTTGTAGGACCGCGAGAGATGGCGACGCCCTCGTCCGGCAGCGGATTGATCATTGCGATGATGATGATGACGACGAGGGCGGTGGTGATTGTTGTGAAAAACGTCGGGATGCGTCCGCGGCGACGCCGTGACTGACGCGGCTGCGACGCGTTACCACCTCCAGAGTACAACGACCTGAAGACGGAGCTCATGGACTACCTGAAGCACTTCGCCGACGAGGGGAAGGTAAAGCCCCACCAGCGCGTCTTCTCGCTTGCTTGCATGCACGCGAATTTGCACCTTTGCGCGGAATAATGTTACGGGAGCAAATTTTCTTTGGTTCTTTCGGTAAAGTCACGTAGAATGAGAATAAAATAATAAATTGATAAAATAAAATAACACAATAATATTCTCACGACGTTTCGGCCACAACACAAGCGGCCTTCATCAGGTGAAGGGGGACGAGACTGTCTGGTAGGACAGCGCTGGAGTGGAGCGCTGTCCTACCAGACAGTCTCGCCCCCTTCACCTGATGAAGGCCGCTTGTGTTGTGGCCGAAACGTCGTGAGAATATTATTGTGTTATTTTATTTTATCAATTTATTATTTTATTCTCATTCTACGTTAGCAGGAATATGTTTCGCTCGGTGTGCTACACAAGGTAGGGGGGGGGGGGGGTGTTGTTGTGGCCAGCGTGTGGCGCCTGGCAGTCTCCCTGTCCTCAGTGCTGCCGTTCGCGTACCACGTGCAGCTACTCATTCAAGGATGAGGTAGCTTTGGGAAGAGGCTTTGGAGAGGTTCAGGTATCTCGCCGATTAGCACGTTTGGCTACGTACGGTGCGAAAGAAGTTCAACATGCATACGTACGCGTCCAGGAATCGAACCTAGGTTGCTGAGTTCATGCCGCAGGGCGCAAACCACTGCGTCGCTGCTCCCATCATCCACACGCACACACGCGCAGAAAAGAAACTGGCTTGACACAGCCTGTTTAGCTGAACGATTAATGCACAACCCGCTTAAAATTATTACATTCTTAATGGTAAAATGTGTAACCCACCTCAGTGAAGTAGTTGATATATGTTTTACCTTTCGGCCAAAACAGCTGCATCAAAGTTATTCGTACAGAGCGGCACCGACAGGGAAACCAACCTCGGAATGCCGAGAGCATAGCACGGTGCACCAACCACGGCGCCGCCACTCCACCCCCGACAGCACCACCATGTCGTAGGGGTTGTGTTGTGTTATATTTCTTGGGAAACATCGCAGCTGCGGTTTGCTCAATGCGAACAACATTCTCTCTTTCTCTCTCTGTCTGCTCGGGTGTTCACACGCGGCGCGGCTCATCTTCACCCACCGCCACAGAAGGGGGCCTCGTCCCGACGGACATTACCAACCTTCCTCCAGTGGCGACCGGGAACCGCCGTGTTTATTCTTGGCGATGTTGGAAGCCACGAGTAATCACGAGTTTCCAAGAAGCCATTCCGCACCGGGCAGGCTTGTAGCGATTATAGCCCGAATTAAGTGCCGTAATTTGGATGGGGTTTTTTTTCGTGATAGAGCGACCTCATTCATGTTACAGCTGCACTGGGAGCGTGTCGAAGTGTGTCTTGACTTAAAGTTTTCGTGACTGCAGGAATTTACATTCTTTGGGTCTTTCGGTAAAGTCACGTAGATAGGTTCAAAGAAGATAACAACAAAAACTACGACGTTTCGATCACAACACAAGCGATCGTCATCAGGAGGAAAAAATAGGAAAAAAGAGCTCTTTTTTTCCTTCTGATGACGACCGCTTGTGTTGTGATCGAAACGTAATTTTTGGTTATTTTTTGTTATTTTTTTTTACACCTATCGACGTGACTTAACCGAAAGACCCAAAGAATATTGTCTTTCGTTTTACATTGTATGTTGAACTTCTTTCGCACCATTCGTGACCAACTTTGCTTAATCGGAGATGAATTGATCTGCAATCATTGCTCCCTCAGGTGGTGAAGAAAGAGGACATCACGGAGTTTTTCCAGAGCATGCAGTCTCGCAAGCGACGGAGGAGCGAGAGCAACCACATGGTGTACCACTGCAAATGAAGACTCCATTAAGCCCCCGGCGCGCGCACCGTAACCGCGCTCGCGTACGCGCAAGTCAGCCAGCCGGCGAGCCAGCCAGCGAGGCAGCCAAGGAGCCAGCCAACTGGCGAACCAGCCGGCCGGCCAGTTTGCCAGCTGGCAAGTTTGCCGGCCGGAGAGCCTGCGGGCTAGAGAGCCTGTGGGCTAGCGAGCCTTCCGGCCGTCAAGCTTGCCGGCCGGCTAGCCTACCGGCAAGCGGGCCATCAAGCCGGCGGAGCCAGCTGGCCAGCACTTTCTCCGCTCATCCCGCTCGTGTCACGCGTCAGAGGCCGATTCTCTTAGAGCCGGTGCTCCGACAACGTGCGTTCCGGTCGTGCGGCGTGCCGTTCCACGCGGTGTCCCAATATTTTGGCCCACTCGCTTGGGAGTTCCCGAAGAAGCTCGCGGCGCGCGGAGGGCAAAAGAAACGCACACGAGAGAGCGCAGTACGGCCCAACCGCGAAGATCTAAGCGGCCGGGCGCTTGTTTAGCTGGTCGCGTGAACTCGCGAATCATTTACCTGCGTTCGGGGAAGCGCTTCCGCTAACATTGGGATGCGAATTAAGGAGTCTGCGGAGTTGTTTTGTAAAAAAAAAAATTTCACACTGCCATTCGCCCATACGGATACGAGGCTTAAGATTTCTCATCTCTTCGTCCGCTCTCTTGAGTTTCCGCTAAGATGATTAAAGTTTTTTTTAGGTTTTTTTCACAGCGATCGTACGATGTTCATGTGCGAACGTTAATCTGTTACGCTCTTAAATGTGCTTCTGCTGCGTGATGTCGAAAACAAGCACAGAACGTGAATTTGTATAGCGAGCCTCGGCGAGTGATGGCGATCCGCCAATTAGGTGGTCGTTTCCATCGAAAGAGGAGATTCTTTTTTCACATCCCCGCTCAATCTCGCACACGGTTTGTGCTGCGGGAAAAATACGTCGGCTTGACAGCAAACTGAAAGGGTTGTGTTCCAGTTCAGCCGTTGGCGTGTCGGTAAATAGCAGCGAGTGATGCGATCGCATTTTTTCACAACGTAATGCGCTTCAAGGGATGCTTTCACGGCAACTACGTTAGGTAGGTCGCATTCGTAGAGAAGCTACGCGAGTTTTTAATATTTTGTCACGAGCTTTGTTGGGGGTTTACCCCCCCCCGCCCGCTTAAGTTGCATTGCTGCGCGATTCTCTTATCGCAAAGTTGCTCGGTCTGTCCAAAGTTTACGTGCGTTTTAATGTGTGGCAGCACACGTTTGGACGTGAAGCTCACGCGGCCGCATTGTTTTCACGTCGTCTGCCACGCAGCAGCCGCGCCGGGGTTTTTGCGGGCGTGACATTTCCCAATCGTGAATGTGATCCACCCGACACAAGCGTTTATCGTTAGAGCTGCACCACCCGAACACAGACTTGTAGGTTGGCGCAACAACAGCACACGCTCGCTTCCGTTATCATTGCGTTATGTTATTCCCTTTCGATTTGTAATCTTATTTGTCGTAAATGTTTCTGGCTTTTTTTGCGATTTGCGTCGGTGCTCGCGTTTGTTGTGGAGCGTCTGCGGTGCGAGTTTAGTGTAGGCCACGTGCACCAACGGACCAACTCCAACCCACCCACGTTGTGTCGGTAATGCACGCATGCAGGCACGGAGGACTGACGCGCGTGCCCCTAACCTGGTGTTCACGGGAAGAGTCGGTGCGCGATTCCAAGTGGTGGCCAAGGTGGTTTCAGGGTGTCGGAGGCACCTGAGTCAACGGCACTGCTGAAGTCCTGGGTGTGAGTCCCCATTTTTAAGTTGCCTGGAATTTTAATTGGTCCTCAAGCATAGGAAGAGTTTATGGGTCCCCCCAACCCGGTCACAAATGACTGCACAAAAATATCCATAATTATACAAATTATTCGGCACTTAAAATTTGGCAAAATTCGCCTGCAAGAAAATAAACGAAATTTCCCTTCTTGAACCTCTCCCGGGACACCAGTGTAAGAGAATGGCCACTTGATGGATAAGGTTGCAGAATTAACTGAAGTCTGCTCAAGGCCTCATCCGTAACAGGGCCACAACTATTATGTTCCATGTGAAGGGTGTTGGTCACGTGTCAAACCAATTTTTTTTTACTAATTCTCAAGAGCTGGAATTTTAGGCAAATGTATTTGCAAAAACCAAATTGTAATGGTAGAGTCTAAGGAAATGTACATAGGTCGGGTGGGCCTTGCTGCTGCTGGCATACCCCGTGGAGTTAAAGTGGTCATGAGGAAAAATGTGGCATTGGAGTGTCAAATGCAGACACTCGCCAGTAACGACAGGCGGGTGTCAATGCTTTTTGCCGTACGTGTACTTTTCCACACGCTTCTGTTTGTGAGTAAATGCATTTTGATTGCGTTATTTGAGAGTTTTTCTTTTTTTTAAACAGGACAAGTGTTATCTTTAGTGGTGTTTAAGAGTTTGCGTGCATTTTTCTCCATTGGATTTATGATTACGTTGGAACCGATGTCTAGTGAGCTATATGTTGCCTCATGATTCTTGTACATGCGTGGTTATTAACATGCAGTTGAAATAAAATGTAACGCCTCGTCAAATATTTCTATCCCTTGATTACCTTCCAAGTGCCAATATTGCAGACTCAGTTATTTGCTTTTGTATGCTTTTATTTAGAATATAGTGAGGGGGGTTAAATTGACATTTTCTATTCATTGTGATGTGCATATGGAACAGGAATTCTTAATTTTTCGTACACTAGAATTTCGGTGGCCTTATTCTAGCTCTTTCCTACAAAAGAAATCTGGACTCGATTGTATGTAGGCTGTGTAGGCATGTATGCTGACAAATTTTATTTTTGGGGGAGTGAAAAAAATTGTTGGTGGGGGAGGGCGTTTGGTCTACAATTGTTGTGAACCTATTGGATCAACTTCTTACCCCCGTCTCTAGTGGGGGGGGGGTCCACTTTCTATGACTTTTTTATCGGGTCTTCTGAAAGGCGGTATTATTTACTTAACAGAATGCCGGGCTTTTACGATATAGATGTATTGATTCATAATGAGTGGATAAGTTCCATGACAGGCAGTACAGCTGGATTGAATGCCGAAGAATCATAACATTTTTGTTAAGTATAATATTTGAATGCAAACAATATCGCTTGAGTGTTTCACGAGTAATTTACAGCACCTCTGTGATGGTCACAAAAATCAAGGTCATCGGAAGAAGCAGCAGCAGCAGTCGTGGTATCATCCGCAAATACATCATTATCAGAAACGTCATCGGCAACAACAAAAATCGTCCGTCACAATCATCACCCTGTAGACATTGTCCGCGAGACGTCTCGCGCGAGTATATCGATGACCCCTAGCGTACACCAACAGTAATTGCGTTCAAGTCAGCAGCCTCCAGCAACGTCAGCAAACAATCAAAGGTATTTACATCAAATGCCATCGGGAGAATCGTCATAGAAAATAGTCGTTGCATCGTCAGTATCCTTAACACCATGGGTAATCACCAGAAGCGTCGGTTATCAAAATCCGCAGCAGCGTCAGTTTTATGAACACCATTCCTGTTTCAGTCTCATTGGAGACTTGGTTACGTAAGTGATCATAATTTATTATTAATATTCCGTGGATCCTCGCCACCAAAGCCGTCATTCTCACACACGGAATCTGGCCTCGACCAACGCCATTCGTTTTTCATTAGGTAAACATCATCGCCGTCGTAAAATTACAAAGCATCAACAGCGATTGTCATCAAAAACATCCTCATCGGAATTAGTATCGTCATCCGTATCAGAAGGCCCATCGTCGTAATCATCATCAAGGGCACCGTTATCGTTCGTGAGTCTCATTTGAGACACCGCTGCACGGTTACATAAGTGACCACGATCGTTCGTTATAAAATATCCTGCGGGTCGCAACCAAATATTCCGCCATCCTCGCCACGCGCCGAGTCCCATTGGCCCCGAGCGACCACCCAATCGAGTTCGTGACTCCAGAAGCCGGCTCGCTCTCACTCGCCGTGCCCAGCTCCGAGTCATCCTCCTGCTCCTCCTCTCACCCTCCACTCTCACGGTTCGCGTCCTCTTCCCAGGGTCGGCGTCATTCACGTGGCCATGGCTCTTCTTCGTCGGGCGCAGGGAGCGATGCTCCGGGCAGCTTTGCAGGGTCCTTCTCGAGTCGCGGTCCCCCGTGCCGCAATTCATTCGGGACCCCCAGAAGTGAAGATCGGAGTTAGGGTAAGTAATGTGTGAGTGTGTGTGTGCTGTTAGCGCGCTGTTGGTTAGCGCTACGGTGCGCTACGAACCGGGTGGCCCGAGTTTGATTCTCGCTCACGGCCAACACCAGTGACGACTAATCCGAACCGGTCCTGGGACCTTCCCTAGGTCGACTCAGCCTTAAATGAGTACCTGGTGCGGTGGGTGCACAACCGCCACTGGGGAGACAAAGACGGCCGGGCGTGGTGTTAGCCACCCACCCCTTCGTGTGCCGTACCGGACTTCATAGGTGCTCGCTAACAACACTTGCCCCAACAGCCTGCTCAGGCTATACGAGGGATCTTTGTCTTTTTTTGTTAGCGCGCTGCGCTACCAACTCAGTTCCCGCTCGCGACCAACAGCAGTGACGAATATCTGAACAAGTCCTGGGTCTCCTCTAGGTCGACTGAGCATCAAATGAATACCTGGTGCGATGTATAAAACATCGCCACTCGGGAGACAAAGGCGGCCCGGCGTGCTGCTGATCACCCCCCCCCCCCCCCCCCATCGTGTGCCGTACCGACCTTCAGTATGTTGTGGCCACACGGGGGATCTTAGCTGCTGTTGCGCACCTAGCCTGGCACAGACGCCGCGGTGAGTGCCACTGAGGGCTGCGTGCGTGCGCGTCGTGAAGGTCGCTGGCGTAGCGGGCGCACTGCTCCGCCACGAACCCGGCGAGCCGCAATCGAATTCGCGTCCAGGGCGAACGTCAGCCGCGAGTTGTACACACGGTACACAACGCATCGCTACCGGACCTCCCCCTACGTAGACTTAGCCTTAAAATCAAACGAGCACTTTGTTCGGTGTGCGAACATCAGCGCCGGAGTCATTAAGGCGACCACGCAGCCGCGTACGTGGCCACCCCCGTGTCGCAGTGAACAGATCGAGAGGCACTCGCCACCGACAGTCTACAGAGCTCACACGAGGGATCCTTGCCCCTTCTCGCGTTGTGTAAGCTGCGATTTGGACAGCTCACCGGCGCGCCTATTTACTGCGGCGGCATTAATAGGCGCTCGCTAACAACGGCCGCCTCCAGCTCACACTCGAGGCGCGTTAATCCACTGCTGGATGGAGGCCTTCCCCTTCGCCGTGTCAGTCGTGGGGGTCGATTTGCCATACTTCACCACGCTGGGCCCACGCGGATTGGTGAAATCGGTGTCCAGGGCCGGTTTCGATTTCGTTCGCCCACTGTCGGTAACCCTGCTCGGGACTCTTAACTCAGGTGGACCGGGTTCAGCAGCTATATGTTGCCTCGGTGAGGCCCATTTGCCTGCTCACGTACAATGACGAACAAAAAAACGAAGAGAAATGATTCTAGACTGTACCGCACAATTGTACGTTGTGTTTTAGTTCATTCACGTACTTTACTTTGAACTTTTAAAACCGCTATTTACTGTCATTAAAATGTTCCAAAACGCGTGTTCCACGTAACCAGCCAATGCGTGAATCCGATTCCATAAGATGCGGCGGACACTTTAAGCGACGTAATCGTCTGCAGGTTACATAACGTCGGTGCGGGGGGAGGGGTGGCGCAGCGGTTAGCGCACTGCGCTAGAGACAAACCCAGCGGTGACCCGAATTCAAATTCGATTCCCGTATTCCCGACCATGACCAAAATCAGTGGCGAATTATATCGGATTTTTAAACAGGTTCTGCCTCTCCCTCCGACCGCCCCCTGCCTCGCCACCTCGCCTCTTTACCTACCCGAACTGACCAGCGTGGTGAAGTATGGTCACCCCCCCCCCATCCCCGTGGGAACGAAACCCTTTATCCCAGGGTTCTTCATTGTAAGGCCCGCGGGCCCCTGACGTACAGCCCCCATCGACGATACACAAATAGTGAAAACACCTCCATCATCATCATCACACCATCATCATCACATCATCATCACATCATCATCATCATCGTGCTGCTGCTGTCAAACTCCCCAATGGCTTCAAATGTTGTGGCGGCACCCACTCGCACACTGATGATGTCGTATCCACCTCTTTATCCATTTGTGTGATTTTCACGTAAGGGTCTCTGCGTGCGTTGCGCAACACACCGCTTCGACACCCGCTGACATTACAGCAACGCCTTTCACCACACCGCGCCGGACGGACACTTGCAGGGCTCCGTATAGGATAACTCGTACGACACGAACCGCGCGGACGGTGTTTAGAATGCTGTAGCAGGCTCGGTGCGTCTCGTGGAGTCATTACGCGCGGTGGGGGACGGCAGGCATCCGTTGTTTTTGTGTTAAGTCTGCACAGATAACGGCGCGTGATGTAGGGCACCGAGTCTGCGCTCACGTAACATAAGCGCCGCGCGGCTGGGAGCTCCGTATACGAGGGGCATACCGAGTGAACGAGTATCTCAAAAGAGTGCCTGGTGCGGTGTGTAAACATCGCCACTGGGGGACGTGGTTGTTGGCCACTCACCCCATCGTGTGCCACCGTGCCGGCCTTCATAGGTGCTGCTACTCGCTAACAGCACTTGCCCCGACAGTCTGTTAAAGCTACACTGAGAGGTGGGGGGGGGGGTCTTTGTCTTTGCGCGTGTGCAGGATACCGTGTTCACGCTGGGCGTGTTCGTCCTCACCATCACGGGCCCGTCCGGATGGATTCTCTCGCACCTGCGCGTCTACCGCGGCAAGGAGTAGAGAGGCGCCCAGAGAGAGAAGACGCCTACGGGAGACCCGGTCAAGAGACACGGAGGAGGAAGAGGTGGAGGAGGGGGACGTTGCAGGATCTTGAAGGAGGAGACCAACATCAGCCTTGAGTTCACGCCACTGCGTCCGATTGACCGTATTAACCGAGGCTTAATTCATATCTCACCGATTTTTTTTCCGGGTAGACTGGGGTAGGTGACTAGCGAGCAGCAGCCGTAGCGAGATGTATACTTGATGTGGTGTGCCGGGTGCAACAACAATGCCTGTGTCAATGTTCTTCCACGTGGTCATTACTTTAGCACGACCGACATGTGATTAAGGAAAATGTGCAGCCCTTTGTCAAATGCACTGCCGGATGAAGGCCTCACTAATGCCGTGTGGGCCACGGGGGTAGTTTGAGCATACTTCACCCCGCTGGTCAGTGCGGGTTGGTCGCTGTCCAGGATCATCGTCGTGTTGCAAGAACAGCAACATTCGAATCCTCTTGCCAAAGTAAGAGCGGCAAGTGTGATTACGCGTGTGGTTTGCATCATCGCGTGACTGCGTGATGGTTAATAGGCACGTGCGATTATGATGATGATGCTGCTGATGATGATGTGTGGATTAATCGCAGCGTGACGGCGTGATGATCGGGAGTTGCGTGTGGGTGGCTATGTGGCTTTGTGAGGTTTTTCTCGTGCCCCAGGTGCAGGCAGTCGTGGGTTGACGCTAGTGGGTAGCAGATGAACCCGATGTGTCTACGTTCGATATCTGGACCTTGTGTATCCCCCAAAAAATGCTTGAAATGTGTCAGAATTGTGACCGCATTAAAAACAAATCGACAACGTGCACTACAATGCGCGTTGGTTGTAACTGCTATCACACACTCGTCTATACTGATTTTTTTTTAGCAGACGCAATTCATTGACATTGCGTTGACCGTTCAGAGAAGCAACCGTTGCAAGATGACAACGTCGCTCCAAGGCATACTACTTGCTGGTGGTCGACACTTCACAGCCAAGTCGCAGCCCAAAGGAGGGAGCCCAGGTCAAAGTTCACCCCCCCCCCCCCCGTGGAGCCTTTCACATACTGAAGTTCGCGAGTGCCTATTAAGGCCAACACGTGGGGAGGGGGGGGGGGGTGTGACGAGGAGGATTACGCTCATTTGTCTCTGTCTCTCCCCAGTGCTGATGTTCACACACGCTATCGGGTACTCATTTAAGGATGATTTTAGGTAATCTAGGGGAGGCCCAGGGACCGGTCCAGATACCACTCGCCGCTGATGCCGTGGCCGCGACTGAGAATCAAAATCAGGTCGTCGGGTTCGTGGCACAGTCCGGTGGTATCCGATACACGGCCACTCCCACAACACGCCGGCAATATACACACATTCATATAAACACGAACACATACACACAAGACAAAGAGCCCCCGTGTAGCCTTAATAGACTGTTGGGGCAAGTGCTCTTAAAGAGCACCTGTGCATGGGGAGCGATGGTGTTTGTGAAGGTCGGAACGGTACACGAGGGGGTGGGTGGCCAGCACCACGCCCGACCGCCTTTGTCGCCCCAGTAACGATGTTTTTTTACACACCACACCAGGTACCTACTTGAGGCTGAGTTGACCTAGTGTAGTCCCAGGACCGGTTGAGATAATTGTCACTGGTGTTGGCTGTGAGCGGGAATCGCAACGTGTTAACCACCTTGCCACCGCTCCCCACTGAAATACAGACACCCACATACAGCCACACCAACAGACACATTCATATATATACATACAGACATACAGACATACAGACATTCATATAAACACATATACATACATACAGACACATTCATATAAACTCATATACATACATACAGCCACAGCGACAGACACATTTATATAAACACATTTACATACAGACATACAGACACATTCATATAAACACATATACATACATACAAAGATAAAAACAAAGATCCCCCATATAGCCTTAACAGACTGTAGGGGCAAGTGCTGTTAGCGAGCACCTATGAAGGCCGGAACGGTACACGAGGGGGTGGGTGGCCAGCACCACGCCCGACCGCCTTTGTCTCCCTAGTGGCAATGTTTACACACCGCACCAGGTACTCATTTGAGGCTGAGTCGGCCTAGGGGAGGCCCGGGACCGGTTCAGATAATCGTCACTGGTGTTAGCCGTGAGCAGGAATCGAACCCGGGTCGCCAGGTTCATAGCGCAGCGCGCTAACCGCTACACTATCGCTCCCCACATACATACAGACACACCGACAGACACATTCATATCAACACATATACATACAGACACAGAGACAACGTCATACACATTCATATAAACACATTTACATACAGACACAGAGACAACGTCATACACATTCATATAAACACAGACATACAGACACATATACATACATACAGACACAGACACACCGACAGTGCAGCGATGTTAGCCGTGGCCAAGAATCGAAATCAGATCACCCGGTTAATCGTGCAATGCGCTAACCGCAGCGCCACCACTCCCATCCATATTACATTCCAGCACTCGTTTTGCATTCAACGTAACATCCATCGCCCCCCCGCCCTCTACTTGTCCACACGCCCACTCGCAGGCCACGTGCTGAGGTCACCTTGTTCCCGCACAGGGACGGCTGTCACCGGGGGTGCCCTGTCATATGTCGCACGTTTGGCTACGTACGGTGCGAAAGAAGTTGAACATACGATGTAAAACGAAAGACACACTCCGACACGCTCCCGGTTCAGCTGTAACAGGAATGAGGTCGCTCTATCACGAACAACAACAAAAAACCCATCCAAATTACGGCACTTAATTCGGGCTATAATCGCTACAAGCCTGCCCGGCGCGGAATGGCTTCTTGGAAACTCGTGATTACTCGTGGCTTCCAACATCGCCAAGAATAAACACGGCGGTTCCCGGTCGCCACTGGAGGAAGGTTGGTAATGTCCGTCGGGACGAGGCCCCCCTCTTCTGTGGCGGTGGGTGAAGATGAGCCGCGCCGCGTGTGAACACTCGAGCAGACAGACAGTGAGTGACGTTCGCATTTTTCCCATGATCTCTCACTTCACCCCCCCTCCCATACGGATAAAGATTCACCACCGTATTCTGCCGAGTATGAGACGCTCCGGAAGAAAAGACCCCCCCACTCCCCACACCACCCCAAATAAGTGCTAGATTAAGCTAGTGCGGGGCCTGTAGCGTATGTTACAAAGGGGCCCGAAATAAAGAAATAAACACATAAATATTAAAACACGAGTTTTTTACTTGCATAGTAAAGTAATTGTACTTTGTCATTTGCAATACAGCCAGATAATACGACAAATCGCTAACCTTAAACACCCAGTCGTTCGTAAAATTTGAAGGCAGTATAGTACTATAGTAATAGAGCAAGTGCAGAATCACTGAACCGGAATTGATAGCTTGAAATCATTTAGCGCGGGGCCCTTGAAAGTGCAGGGCCCGTAGCTACTACACATGTGTAGTAGCTACATGTGTAGCTACATGTGTAGCTACTACTACATGTAGTTGAAGTAGCTACTACACATGTAGCAGTTCGTACATATGTTATAGCTGCTACATATGTAGCTACTTGTGCTACTAGGATCATCCGGCAATATTTTGCGCCCGGTGTCAATGAAGTTGTACGAATATATCACAGGCTCATACGCTCAGAGACCCAATTATAAGATGCACCCCCGACTTTTACTATGACAATACGGAGGCAAACGTGCGTCTTATAATCCGGATAAAACGGCGACGCAACGGTCGGGTTATGTTCGCGTTGTTGTTTAATGGTGTTAGGTGTCCTAAAAAATGACGCTGCTACTGGGCGATTGGAGGCAGTCGTCCTCCAGCAACAACGGAGGGCAGAGGAGCGACGCTCACAACAACGAGCTGAGCGCCGGGCGGTTAAAACGCGACAAGGTGGCACAGTGGGTGGGCACAGCTGTGTGCATCTACCGGTCATCTCAGTCAGCCGACCCCATGGCACCACCTGGGTTTGTCCAGAGTCCTCCTGTCAGCAGAGAGCCTTCGACACTTCGCGTGGCCTCAAAGTGCACCTGGCCTGGCACAGACGCCGTGGTGACGTCACCGTCGGGTATCCTAAGACTTACTGATGGGATTACTTCGCTACGTGGTCCTGTTATTATTATTATTGTAATGAATAATCGTTGCTGCACTATCGTCATCATCCATGGTCCATGATCTATCCACTGTCGGATGAAGGCCTCCTCACGCCATCGCCCATCACTCGCGGTCCTGCGATGCCACAATCCGCCTGGTCACTCCTGCAAACGGCGTCAGCAAAGACAAAGATCCCCCGTATAGCCTTTAACAGAAGGTTGGGGCAAGTGCTGTTTGGGGGCACCCTGTAAAGGTGGGCACGGCACACGGACGGGTGGGTGGCCAGCACCACGCCAGGCCGCCTTTGTCTCCCGAGTTGGCGATGTTTTCTCATCGCGCTGGGTACAGTGCTCATTTTGAGGCCGAGCCGACCTAGGGGAGGCCCATGAGTGAGTATGAAATTCTAGATAGGAATGTAGAATTTCAGCCACGGACATCCAAGTGCTGCCAAAACGTTCCGAGTAGAGTTGCCAACAAACCTAGAACAATAACAATAATCATCATGATGATGACATGTGATACATAATTTATTATTGAACGGATGAGTGAGTGGAACACGCGATTTGCTTGCGTCAACTTAAGAAATAATAAACATCTTTGGTGCCAACGCCCAGCAGGGACACGACCAAGGGAGTGCAGGTGCCAGGCCTCAGTGAGGACGGTACAAACTGTGACTGTACAGAGGTTGCGTTGCCTGTACAAACCCTGTCTGTGACCGTGGGTGTGTGTGTGTCTGTGACCGTGGGTGTGTGTCTGTGACCGTGGGTGTGTGTCTGTGACCGTGGGTGTGTGTGTGTGTCTGTGACCGTGGGTGTGTGTGTCTGTGACCGTGGGTGTGTGTCTGTGACCGTGGGTGTGTGTCTGTGACCGTGGGTGTGTGTGTGTGTCTGTGACCGTGGGTGTGTGTGTCTGTGACCGTGGGTGTGTGTGTGTCTGTGACCGTGGGTCTGTCTGTTTGTGACCGTGGGTGTGTGTGTGTGTCTGTGACCGTGGGTGTGTGTCTGTGACCGTGGGTGTGTGTGTGTCTGTGTGGGGAGCGGTAGTGTAACGGTTAGCGCGCTGCGCTATGAACCTGGCGACCCGGGTTCGATTCCCGCTCACGGCCAACACCAGTGACGATTATCTGAACCGGTCCCGGGCCTCCCCTAGGTCGACTCAGCCTCAAATGAGTACCTGGTGTGGTGTGTAAACATCGCCACTGGGGAGACAAAGACGCCCGGGCGTGGTGTTGGCCACCATCCCACCCCCCACTTTTGGCCTTTATAGGCGCACGCTAACAAGCACTTCCCCCAAACAGTCTCGTGAAAGCTATATATGGCGGGGGGAATCTTCATCTTTGCCTTTTGTAAACGTGAATGCGTCTCTCTCTCTCTCTGGCGTGACCATCCACTCGTCTGCGCACGCAGCTCTCACCACTCGTCCGTGATTCTATCCGGGCCAATTCAGCGCGTCCTCTGCGCGGACAAAGCGCGTCACCTCGCCGCTAATGCGACTGCGTTCTAAGCGCCCGCGCGTGTAATCCCATGAGCGGCGACACAGGGATAGAAATCCGCGGAAGCTCCGTTCCGTAACTTGTGTCCTTTATATTCTTGGTTCTTTCGGTAAAGTCACCACGTAGAAGGGAAACAATAAAATAATAAAAATATATAAAACAATAAAATTATCAAGACGTTTCGACTGCAACACAAGCAATCATCATCATGGGTGTGAAAACCACAGCAAGAAAATGTTCTTGCTGTGGTT